AAATAAACGAGTTAGCTCTAATAAGCAAAGTACAAAACTGTGTGAATCTTGAAGGCTCTTGATTTAAAATTATAATTTCCTTTAATAGATCTCCGCTGAAGAAATAACAGACAACAGGGTGGCACACTTTGAAGTGGCAGCCCGCAGGCTGGACAAGAAGGTACTGGAAGCTGCTTTAGTGCTCTTTTATCAACTGCCTTTGATTTAGATTTAATCCCTTTAAAAACACTCTTAAGTTACTACTTGGATGTGCTTGTTTAGTATTTGTGGTGGTCCGACCCTTTCCTGGAGTTCTACAAGCAGACAGAAACTGGATGGCAGCTGGCTCACAGGACGGAGGTACACACGTATTTACCAACAACTCATCGTCCTGCTTGTGTAGAATTATTACTGACTTGTATCCTGATCGTGTAGGTCGTGTACAACAACCTAAACCCAATATGGACACCCTTCCGCATCTCACTGCGATCTCTGTGTGGAGGAGATGTGGAGAAGCCCATTAAGGTAAATATTTTATGTTTTTTTACCACGTTAGTGTAAAATTGACCCTATTAACAAAACCTGTTTCTTTTAATAACCTGAAGAATGCTTTGAGTTGTGAAAATGGTACATGTCCTTCTCTTTCGATGTTGTATGTTTTATTTCATCTTTTGCTGGCTTGATTGACCGTACTACTCTTGCATACTAATAATTCATGATGCATTTTCTTTTTATTTTACAATCCCCCCCTCAAATATTAAAAACGGGAGTGCTTGTGACCCGGCTGGATAAGCGATGTGTGTATTTGTGCACGATGTGTGACGTCACCACGTGAAGGTGTGCGTTTTTTACTTCTTTCTTTTTATTAATTTTAGTTACTTTTCTTGCCTTTACTACGTTTAAGCTGATTACTGTAAAACGCTTTTGCATGTGTGACCTTTTTATTGTATTGTAGAGGGTTTATAACATGATGAAGCTCTGAGTACAAGTAGTGAATATCGCATGTTTAGTGTAGTGTAGTCTGAAAAACACATACAATTTACAAATACAAAGTACTTTCTTAGTACTTGTTTATCAGTATTTAATTAGAAAGTAAATATATGTTAAAGTGGATATCATATCGAACTGTTAGTGTGGAGAAGGTGGCGTGGCGGGGCTTTTATTTTGCCACAGGACAACTGTGTGCTTGTGTCCCCAGGTTGAGTGCTTTGACCGGCGTTACAACGGCTCCCATGCTCTCATTGGGACCTTTACGACCACACTAGCAGAGATGCAAGAGGGAACGCACCTCCGCCCGGTAAGACTTTGTGTGCTGTGTGAGCATGGTTAGTTCGATTTGTTATCTGTCGCTGGTATTAATTATGTCTCGTGTTCTCACTCATAGGTTGAACTTGAATTCATCAACCACAGAAAGCTACAGAAGAGAAACTACAAGAACTCTGGGGTCATTTGCATCAAGCGCTGCGTGGTAATGATTTAGAAACTAGGGAATTTAACACACCTCATTCTGCCTTGACTCTGTGTTTGTCAGTGAGTGATGGAGCATGCTGTATGGTAGCAGTCTTGCCTCTGTTTATTGGATCACTGTACATTTTGCGCTGCTGCACACAGCTCATGTAATGCTCCCCCTTCCAGGTGCAGAAGGAGTACACCTTCCTGGATTACATCATGGGGGGTTGTCAAATCAACTTCACTGTGAGTGTGGAAATGCTCGACACAAATGTTATGACTTCATTAAAAGTAGTTTAACTACTTTTTTATTATAAGTATTATTAATACTTTTATTTAAGTATAAATAAATAGTTTTGCAGAATTTTAAAATAACCCTAAAATTACTCTGGGACACCATGGCTCTCTGAAGCTTTTGTATGTGGTGACTGAGAAGCTCTGTCCCTGTGTCTTGACGATTTTCCTCTCTCGGCTCTGGCCTAGATTGCCATCGACTTCACAGGGTCTAATGGGGATCCAAAGTCTCCTCAGTCCCTGCACTATATCAACCCTGAGGGTTACAATGAATACCTGACAGCCATCTGGGCCGTGGGAAACGTCATCCAGGACTATGACAGGTAAACCCACAAAGATTGTGATAGTACACCAACTTAGACGAGATTCTTTCTTAAAATATTTACATTTCAATGCTTTCATAGCAGTGTGTTGTTCTAGAAATAGTGTTAGTTGCTTTTTATAATAATGATTTTCATGGAACTAATTTCCTGGACTAATGTGAAGAAAGTTATTTTTCAGTTTGTTAACCTGGAAATGTGCTCTATCAAGCCTGTCGTGCACAGAGTAACTCTAATTCTCCAGCTCCTGATTTAAAAAGTGTTAAGTTAGTACTATTTGTTTGCTTGCAAAAATCACATTCTGCAGGAATAAGATTTTTTTTTTTAAATGCTTATGGTATTGCTAACAAATATTTATTCTGTCTGTCTTTTTGTGCAGTAATAGGATGTTCCCTGTGTTTGGTTTTGGAGCTCAGATCCCTCCATCCTGGCAGGTATGAAAAATTGTTGTTAGACAAAAGCTTGACGTCAGCGGCTTCAGTGTCACAGTTGCCACAGTTTAGGTCACAGTTTAGGCTCACGAGTGGTTTAGGGACGAGTCAGGTGCCCGTGTGAACCGTGACACAGACTTCTGTCAGGGTAAAGGTTTCCAATTTTAACTGAAAATGTTTTAATGTGGAAGTTGTTGTGGTTTATAAATAGATCACCCAGTGTGTACATATGTTGAATCATCATATTTCGTGCCTGCGAGTGCGCTGATAAGATAAGAACAAGCAAAATAACATGTTTCTTCCACTACAAGACCTGGTGCTCGCTGCAGTTAGGAGGAAAAAATGTATAGATATCAAAAATTAGTTGAAAAATATCAGCATATTGTATTTTGGCACAATCCAATATCATGCATCCCGACACTGACACTAAATTTACTGTAAAATTACAGTAAAATACTATGAGAATGCAAAGTTTACTGTTTATTTTACAGTGTTGTAATTTACTGACATGGTAAACCCTGTATACTGTTCTGTTCTCTACACTATGGGGTTTACTGTTTATTACTGTAACTACAACTTTCTAATAACATGCTGTCTTTATGTCGTGTTGTCACTGGAATCAGCTGTACCTGTAGCTACCTGTAAATGACCACATTTTATTATTTTAAATGATATGTACACATTACTGTGAAATGTAGACATTCACCATAAATAACAATGTGTGGTTTTTCTTTATGATCCAGTGTTAAGATCTCTGTTTAACATTTAAACATGTATATACAATTAAAACTTGAAATGATAAAGGATAAGGCAAGTTACATTTTTACTGATTAGGAACATTTACTTAATGGCAGAAATAACTCAATTAACTCAATGTGAAAAAAAGAAGATAAAAATGGCTAATCGCTAATCACTAGTTAGCAATCACGTCCTTAGCCACCTATTCTAAAGCCCCCACCGGGAACTGTTTTGTTCAGTTTCTACGGCAGCCTGCTGTCGACGATCCGTCTTGTTTTGGGCACCAAAATACTGTCAGATTTTACCCTTTTTAACCACGTTTTGGACAAACTGAACACTTTGGCTGCATTTCTACTTTAATTTGTTCTAAAACACTTGGACGATATCACCTTGATTGAACTCATTTCAGCTGCTGAATGCCTGAATACCTTTGTGAACCTGTCCTTTAAAGAAAAGTCTCTGTTTTGACTCTCAGACAAACACTCTGTAGTCTCTCATCACTTATCCACGTATTTTGTAATTTACCTGATTGTCAGAGTATTGCTCTGTGTTTTTGGTTGCATCAGCCAGGAAATATTTGCTATACAGCAGGTAAGATATACTTTTAGCTATAAAGGAGCAACGTTATTCATTTTACAGTCTTTTTTCCTGGAACTAAATAATCTTGTGGTGTATCCTAAAGTTTTCATAAGTGTTGTGACTCCTGCCTACAGGTGTCCCATGAGTTTCCTGTCAACTTCAATCCATCCAGTCCGTTCTGTGCAGGTAGGTTTACACTTGTCCAGAGACCGTGTTGTTCAGCTGTGTCCAGTAGTGATGCGTTACTGATGGATGTGTGTGTTGCAGGCATAGAGGGTGTGGTGGAGGCCTATCAGAGGTGTTTACCTCAGGTGAAGCTCTGGGGTCCCACCAACTTTTCTCCGGTCATCAAACACGTCTCCTGCTTCGCCAGACAAGCTCTCTATCAGAATATGGCCTCAGTAAGTAGCCAGAGGGTGGTTTATAACTCAGTGGTTCGCTTAAAATAAAAAAATACTCCCAAATCAAATATATCACAAACATATAACATGACCTACTGGTCTTTGCAGCTTGTATTTAATCAATTTGTATATTTTGAAATAACATCTTTGACACCTTGGTCTCTTTTTCTCTCTGAAAGTTTGCTTACTTAAATATTCCACGGCAAGATTCACTGATGAGATGCTTCCCTAATTATTATCTCATTGAAAATAAAATGGTGTTGTTAAAGCAGTATGTGTGTTGCCAGCATAATAAACTGACGGTTCAGATGCTAGCAAGCCAGACAGGACTTAAAAAATCACATTAAAAAGATCATATGACATGTTAACCCTCCTATTATCTTTGGAGTCAGTTTGACCCCATTCAATGTTTAACATCTCAAAGTAGGTGATTGACATAATTTTTCGGCTTTATTTAAAGAGCTATTTGCACACACATTTTGGTAACAATTTTAAGTATAATTTTCTGGAGGTTTAAATTGCTGCGCTCAAATTCAACCCAAGGATCAAAGATGTCAGTAGACTTGAAGGTAATAGGAGGGTTAATATTGATCCTAACCTGGATGCGTCTCTTCTTTGTGGCTATGTTTATTAGTGTCTTATTATTGTTTCTGTCCTCGTGCAGCAATACTACGTGCTGCTCATCATCACAGATGGAGTGATCACAGACATGGACCAGACGCGCACTGCGATTGTGGAGGCCTCTCGCCTGCCCATGTCCATCATCATAGTGGGCGTTGGTGGTGCAGACTTCAGCGCCATGGAGTTCCTCGACAGTGACGACAGACTGCTGCGCTCGCCGCTTGGTGACGTCGCCGCCAGAGACATCGTGCAGTTTGTGCCCTTCAGAGAATTCCAAGTCAGTAGCAGCCCAGCACCTTCTGTAGAACATGTACATGTAAATGTTTTCACTCACAATTCGGTAGAGAAAATAGCGAGGTCGCGGAACAAGACTGAGACGCGATTGAACGTTCCCAGCATGGACATGTGTTGATTGAGAGAACAGGCAGTGATCATTGATAGGACTTCTGTGGGTAGCTATGGAGGCTCATTGCCTGACATGGTGAGAGATGCTGGCAAAGTGTTGGCCATAGATTGAACTTCAACATCAAACATAGGGTTCAATGTCAGACAGAGGGCCAGGTTGGGAGTTAATTCCAAGAGACTCTCGATGCATCTCTGCCTCCTGAACGGCCTGAATATGAGGAACAGTGGGTCCATCTAAACTAGCATAGAAGAGCGGAAAATTCCAACGGTGGCCAATTGGTCAGCAATAGCAGCAAATTGGTAACTGCCATCTGCCATTGGGTCGAAGTGAATGTTCAGGTTTAATGATTCAGAATACTCCAATCTGTCCTCGTGTGTGTGAGGAATCCACAGGAGCATGTGTTGAACTGTTTTGGGCTGAGACTTTGGCCGCTGCTTTTCTTCTCGTCTTGTTACACCGAAAACCACTTTTGTGTTGCAGTGCGGCTGTGTGGCAGATGAAGCTGAACCTTGTATTTGTGCAACTTTTGGTTTCTTTTCACAACTGAACCTGGTGTTACAAGATGTCTTTTTGAAACTCTGATTGCCGCTCTGATCAACACATTGTCATTTGCCCTACATATAGAGGGGTTATGACTTCTCGATGAAGTCCTGTACGCAGTAGACCAGGCAAGATGAGAGAGCGTTTCTTCAGGATCCAATAACTTAAAGCAGTTTAAAATGCAGTGGCAGATACTTTTACTCTATTGAGGTTTTGTCCCTTATTTTTTCTGTTCAATTTATCCATTCCTTCCCACAAAATTCACCAGAAGTCATCAGCTAAAACACACACGTGCACACACATACACACACACTTTTCTTTGAAAAGGTTGATTCCCTCTGATATGATCAAACTGTAGTAGTTAATAATGCTAATAACTAGCCAACAGTAAGCTAGCTATCGTCAGTTAACTTTGAATACACTGTCAATAATGAACTGTTCACCAAAGAAAGTTGATCACTGACTACTTTTCACCATGTGTGCTAGAAAGGAAACAAGGAAGTTTGGACGACTGAAGTCAGTGTTGCACCATTGTCATCTAGTGGTCAATTACAGGAAATCAAAAAATTCTTGACTGTGAAAAAATATGTACTATCTCTAAGAGTGAGTTACATGCCGTACATATTTCATATCATACCATTGTCTGCGTTTGCAAACATGTGCTTCCACTTCATTTGGAAATAGCTTGAAAGGCTGAGGAGCAGCAGACAGGACTAGAGGTCATTCTAACCATCAAGTAAAATACATGGAGAGAGAGAGAGAGAGAGAGAGAGATTTTATCATAGTTAGATCTAATAAATGAAACTTAAATAAAATGATATTAGTGTATTATTAAATTTTTGGCTCAGTTATTACATTTGCAAAGAATTTTTTTTTTTTTTTACCAGGCCAATAATGTAATAACCTCTGAAGTTATTGGCCAAAAGATATTATGTTATTGGTTCAGGACATTTATTACATTATTGGCCTATTACATTTTTAAATAGACAATTTTATTATATTACATTTATTAAGTTATCAGCTGTTATGACATTATTTTCTTCTCCAAGCCCTTTTCTGATAATTCCATCACTGTAACACCACCCTGCCAAACCATCCTGTTTCAGTTCTTCCTCTGATCTCACTGATCAGTATACGAGGTGTGTCAGAAAAGTTCCAGGACTGGTGTTCAAAGTAATTCCCCTTGAGTCTAACACACTTCTCCAGCCTTCTCTGCCTTCACGCCGCCATGCACTCCTGGAAGGATTCTTCCAGGATCCTCTGCAGCTCCGTCGTCACAGCCACCTTGATGTTGTCCACGTCTACTAAACGGGTCCCCTTGATGACCCCCTTGAGCTTGGGGAAGAGGAAACAATCCCACGGAGCCAGGTGGGGTGAGTAGGGAGGTTGCTCCAGCACGGAGATGTTCTTCTCAGCCAGGAACTGTGGGATGCTCAGGGCGTTGTGAGCAGGCGGGTTGTCGTGGTGAAGCAGCCACAACTGGTCCCGACACAACTCTGCCTCTTCTGAACGAAGCAAACGCCACAGGATCTCTTTGTAAATGAGCAGGTTGATCATCTTAAGGGGAAAACTCCTAGTTTGTAGTTTGGTTTGAAATATATCTTTAGTGACGCCAGTCCTGGAACTTTTCTGACACACCTCATAAGCTCTAAGTTCCACAGACTCATGCACACTTGATGGCCCTAAACAAAACTACTTCTCATTCTTGTGACGTTGTCATTGCAGGGGAGCAGCGTGGCCCTTGCCCAGAGTGTGCTGGCAGAGCTTCCAGATCAGGTGGCGTCCTTCTTCAATTCTTACAAGCTGAAACCTCCAAGGGGTTTCAACGACTGTGCTCCGCCGGACTATGACTCGTTAAAGTAACCCTCCTACGTACTACCTGTCTGCTTCTCCTTTACCCTCTTTCTACATTTATTGCATGGGGGGAGTGAAAGTCAATGCCAAGGATTGACATCTATGTTACATGAATGTGAGGAAAAACACATTAAAATACTACTAACCTGAAATCAGTGACTGGATTTGTGAATAGTGTTTAACATTTGAGTTTTGTTGCTTTGAAGTTCATTAGCAAAGTGTTACTGTGACCGAGAGACATGAAGGATGATGTAACGCATGATATCTGTAAACAATCACCACATACTCTGTATTCTTCAAGCGTATCACTTGATGTGTTTAGATTTCTTTGTGAAAAAAACTCATTTCTTGTATAAGGAAGTAGTTGTAGGTTGATTTCTGATTTTTACCTGAACTTTTCTATGCTGTTAATTCACACTCTCTCTCACTGAATAATTTGCATTTCTCAGCCCTTATCATGAATCATATGAGAATGCAGTGGAAAGCGAGTGTTTTTTTGTTATCTCTTGAGGTGAAAATACTGGACAGGTTGTGTTAACATCAAACTGGATATTCACATCAAATGCAGTGTCTGCTGCCTATTTAAATGGAGAATTTGTCACCTCTCTTTGCAAGGTTGTCAACGGATGTTTATTCATTATGTCGTCTTTATTATTTTTTGTTGTTTGTAATGGTTGGACATTTTTGTTTCACCATCATGGGTCACGTTAATAGCGTAGCTCCTGGTTGCTGAACTTGATGTCATTAATAAAGAATATGTTAAAGTTCAGATTGCGATTGTCCCATCAATTCTAAATTTGTTTATTTTAAAAACAAAAGTTGTTTCTATATGTATTGTGTAACATTATGTTGGAATAATGGTTAAAATTTAGAAAATTAAGTTAATCTTGTGCATCACTAACAAGTGTGTGTGATCAGAACGACTTGTGATGTTAAATTCTTCCCCGGAGCATGTTTACCCAGGTCATAGGAGGAGATTGTACATTTAGTTTTATAAAAAATGAAGTTGTTGTCTGTTGTGATTTCATTACGTGTAAGTCTTTTTTCTTCTGATCACTCTGAAGGAAAATAAAGAAAATATCTATTAATTTGACTGCACAACTCCATCCTTTTTTACACCTTTTTGGACTGTATTCGCTCTTCTGTCCAGCTGAAGTGATCTTATTCCTGTTTCACACATTACTGACATTCGCCCTGAGTGCTTCTGCACAAGAAAGCAAAGTTTATGCATTACAAGATCATCTTGAGCATACTGACAGACTCTGGGGGAATGTGTGTAGCACTTATAAGACGTGTCATTGCAGTTACAGTTGTTGTAACCTGAAAGGCCAATAACTTGTACATGCTGCACCCTAGAGGGAGAAAAGAAAAAGATTTTTAGCTAAATGCAGCTTTAATTCACTTGTTTGAGTTGATCTACCGTTGTATACCTTTCCATTAAAGAAAAGGCGAAATTCACAACAGTCACTCAAATAACCAGAAACTGAAAAAAGTAATAACAAATAAAAAAATTGCTAAATTGCAATTTAGTGAAATAAGACATTGCTTTTGAATTGTGGTTGAAATTATTATAATTTTTTTTTTTTTTTTTAAAGTCCGGACAAATTAGAGCACTTTGACGAGCAGTGGGCCAGAATACCTGTCAACAGGTGCAGAAATCTGACCGAGAGTTACAGAAAACACTTGATGGCAGTGATTGGCTCAAAGGGTTGTTCAACTAAATATTAGTTTACGGCTCCCATCTTGCTTATTTGCTTGTTGTTGTTGTTGTTTTTGTTTGTTTGTTTTTGAAAAAATACTTCTGTTGAACAACAATTCAAAAGCAATGTAATGATTTTCTTTTTTCTCTTTTTTATTTATTATTACTTTTGTCAATTTCAGCTTATTTCAGTGACAGCTGTTTTTTCTTTATTTAATTGGAGGGTATGAATACATCTGAGGACGACTGTACATTCACCACTGAGAGACACAGCTGTCACCACAAACATGTTGCTTCCTGTGTGACATCAGAGTCCAATAAGTTAATGAAAACGACATATTTGCACTTTTTTGGGTGTATATATAAATTATAGGATGCTTGATTTCACATGCAGCACGTCAGATGTTGGTTTTAAGTCCAGTTGACGGCTTTACTCGTTGAATAAAAGGTCTTTTTAGAGACTGCATGAATACCTAGGGCTCTCCAGATGTTTAATATTGAACAGATGTGTGTTTGTACCCATTTTACATGTGCTTACTTGTGCAGCTTCGTTGTATTTAAAGTTACTGAGTGCGTGGCTCTTGTTTGCAGTCGGCCCCATGACGCGGTGACACCGGGCGCCGCCCACCGCCCAGTGCTTAGCTAGCGGAGCTGTCAGCGCCGTTAAAACACAACCAGCAGACAGCTAACAGACAAGGTAGGAAATAAACGAACATTGCTTTTGTCATTATGTCGTTTTTATTGATGTAATGAAGGGAGACTCGGAGCTTTTATCAGCTAAAAGTCGGCAGCGAAATTGTTTAATCGTTTCTTCGTATCATGTGACTGTTAGCTAATAAACTGTCAAGTTAACGGAGTTGAAAACGGTCTCTCATTTTCTAAAACACTTTAATTTACTGACGCTAATGTGCGAGTTTAATGATGTCAGTTGCGTTTCTTTTGCGTTACTGGAGCTAGTGGCGGTATTCACGGCGCTTTAACGCTACGTTTGGTTCAACTAGACAAACCGTTAAAAAAATAAAATAAAATAAAACTAAATAATACACAACTTCTTATTATTAATTGCCTCAGTTATTACCAATTAACTGTTGCAGAAACTAATTTAACGCGTTTTCAGTTGTTTTTTTTTTTCTGAGCTGTTATTCGGTGTGACGTGTTTCCGGTTCAGGCCAGTTGTGTACCTGTGTGGGACCATCCCGTCCACCAGTCCAGACCTGCCCCCTCTTCATAGCGCCGCAGCCTGGTTTTATCAAGCTGTATCCCAGCTCAGAGGCTCATTAGATCAGCTCGTTTACAAAAAAAAAAAAACACCCCCACCTGATTAAAACACACCAAATATTATATGTAAACAATAACACATGTATAACTAGATCTGTAAAAGTAGTTTTTGCTGTGTTTCCTCTTCATGTACTGTTAATCCACACATTTTGATTTCTCATGCTGTGTTATTGGATTATTAGGTCTCCTCTGCCTGGAAATGGCGGTAAGACATTGTGTTAGAGTGTTATTATTTATTTATCGTTCCTACTTTGACAGAGTTTCAAACTAGTGCAAGCTTTAATGCCATCCCAAATGGTTGTGATCAATTCTAACATGACCTAAAGCATTCAAATGCATCACAAACAGCAGATGCAGTATTTCTCCACACAGTTACTAATCAGTTCAAGTTATGGTTAAAACCCAAGAGCTTTTGCTATTACGGTTCATCACTGAGAGAGAGATGTGCATTGTGGCTTTTCACAAGACAGCAAAAGGCTGTTAAATTGTTTTCAAGTGCCAGAAGCTAATCAAGAAGTACAAGGAGCTCCACACTGTGAAAGATCTCAAGCCATGTGGTAGGAAGCCAGAAGGGATCCCTGTGCTGGTAGTGATAGTAGTCCAAGAAGCCATGAAGAGTCCAGTAGTCACCATCAAGACCATCCTGATGTATCTGAAAAATTCTGATTATCAGCATCGGTGGCAGACAAGAGGAGGTAAAGAGGAGTCTACTGCTCCCAGGCAGGCACAGAGAAGCTCGCCTAGGCTTTACAAAAGCTCATCGAGACAAAGAAGAAAGATTTGGGTCATTGGTTTCGCATTCCACACTCTGTTGGCAGGAATGTAAAGCTTTGAGGGTCAGCTGTTGGGCCAGAAAACTTTATCTAAGTAGGCAGCATCATGGGAAAAGAGGACATTAAGATTTCGGAGGAAAATATTTGTCAGTCTGCAGAAAATCGTCTAATCTTCCAGCGAGACGTGATCTGAAACATGCAGCTGAAGTGGTCGAGAGATGGACTATGGAAAACATTGTCACCATTTTGGAGCGGCACAGCCAGAGTCCGGACCAGAAATCCCATCGAGAATCTGTGGAGGGAACTAAAGACCAGACTGATGGTCAGGAATTCCTCCAACTCAAAGACTTGGAAATCGTCCCAGAATCCCAGCGGAGAAGTGCAGAAAGCTTGTTAGCAATTACAAGGACTGTTTGTTCTCATCCACTGATTGCTGAGAAAAACGTAATCATTTCTGACATGGCATTTTAGCTCAAATAGGAAAATATAGAAACAGAAAAACTTTAAGCATTAACGTCTCTAACACGATGTCGTCCTGTCTTTTGTCAGTTGTTTATGACAGTTTTAGCAAAAATAACCCAATTAGTCAACTAAAAATACATCGTGAATCAAAATTTGGGATGAATTTTGGGTTTTACTGCATCTAGATGTGTCAGTGTCTACGATGACTCATCTGGACTCAAACAGTAATAACACCTGCTGAGTAAATATTATGTGTGGATCATGTGTTTCCCAAGAATGCAAATGGCTGCAAATGTCAGCACACATCATGTTTATTAAGCGTTGTCCATTTTCTGTTCACCTCTGTTTGTGTTTGTCAGTTGTTGCGTGGTGAGTGTTTGTCCTCCAGGCTGCGATGGCGGCGGCGGTGGGACCTCCGGGGCCCAGGGCCACAGACTGCGTGACCAAGGTGGCGCTGACCATCTCGTGTGACAATCTGCTCGACATGGACGCGTTCTCAAAGTCCGACCCTATGTGTGTGCTTCTCATGAACACCTCAGGGCCCCACTGGTGTGAGGTAAGGAGGAGAAAACGTTCTGCTGGGATTGTGCTCATCTGTGATCATTTTTAATATTCATTTAAAGTAATTTTTTAGTATTTTGGGACAGTTCTGAAACAAGATACTTGAGGCACGATGATAATTGTATATCTTATTGTATTATCTATTGTTATTTGTGTCAGATTGGTCGAACAGAGAAAATCCAGAACTGCCTTAATCCCAAGTTTTCCAAGACTCTGCTCCTTGACTACTACTTTGAGATGGTGCAGAAGCTGAGGTTTGAAGTTTACGATATCGACAGTGAAAACTGCAGTCTGCAAGACGCCGACTTCCTGGGAGAACTGGAGTGTACCTTGGGACAGGTTCGCCCACATTACTTACCACCACCAATGCCTGTTGATCATGATTGTTTGTCTTTGTCAGAGTTAAAAATCACATACTGTAAAAACAGTATGCATCAGTGGAAGTGGTTTTGGTGCTGACTAGTGACAGCTAAGATGTGTCTTTCTCTTCAGATTGTGTCCTCAAGGAAAATAACAAGACCACTTGTTAAGAAGGACAAGAGGCCAGCAGGGAAGGGCTCCATTACTGTAAGTTTCTTTCATTCAGGGAGGTGTTTGATGCAAAAAGAGCATTTAATTTATTTGAATTGATCATTCAAGATTCAAGGTTAATTTTATTGTTCCAGCTGTGGGAAATGTGTCTTGGATCCATGCTGCAGTCAACACAAGCAGTCACAAACAGGGAATACACAGTTAATAGATAGAATAAATAAATGCAAGCATACATCAGGTGAAAGCAGAATAAAATATAATATCATAGTCTTATTTCATGAGTCCAAAACATGGCATTTTAAAAAACAGTTTGAGCTATTTGTCTTTATTAATTAGCCTAACTGATGCCGGAACACATTGATTTTTAAATGTGTTCAATCGGCAGCGTGGGACTCTGAGCCTTCTTCCAGAAGGTAACCACTCATCCTCTGAGTGCAGAGCGTGTGATGGATCCTCAGGATCTTGTTGTCCAGGCGCTGAGCAGCCTGTTGATAGATGTTTTGCAGGGAGGGGTGCTCCTGCTCACCTATAATTTTCCACGCAGTGTGGACTAGACGCAGCAGCTTGTTTTTCAGCTGAGCAGAGAGGCTGTGATGCTGTATCTGACCACACTCTGCAGCAGTGCATGGAAGAAGATTATCATGATCTTCTTGTCCACCCCATGGATTCTTAAGCGACGCAGGAAATACAGTCGTTGCTGCAGTCTGCTGCACAAGTAGTCGACATGTGCTCCAGGTTAATGTGTTATCGATAGAGACCCCTAGATACGTGTCAGTGTTAACCTGAGCAGTAGTTGGATCATGGATGACCACTGTCCTGTGGTCCCCAATCCCCCCTGGGGGTCAAACACAATCACTTTTGTTTTGCTTGCGTTGCATTTATTTATATATATGTTTTGGTGTATTTGCACATGTTGAATGTTTTAAAGACAATGTTGTTTCATGTTTTCTAGATCTGTGCAGAAGAAAGAACAGACAACAGGGTGGTGGTGTTTGAAGCTGCAGCCAGAAAACTAGACAAGAAGGTATTGATGGCTGCATTATGTACATGTATTAGGACATTATATCATAGATGATCTGACAGGAGTAAATAATCAGTCAGAATTCTCCCTTACAACTGGAGGTTAGATTTTATTAGACTAGTTTCACCACAAACAACTATGTCAGGGCTGCGGCAACTATCGTGGTTAGCTTGGGTGTTTCCCACAAGTTTCTAATGGTGGTGGTGATTATTTATAGTGCAGCAACACGATGAGAATGTCACAACTAAGGCTCAGCAATGTGCCGCTGTATCAAAGTGAATGAACGATTTTTAAGAACAGCTATCACATGACAGGAGTTCCCGCTTAAGGAAAGAGACACAGAAGTTGTCTGGGTGTAACTCCAGCTGGATAAGTGAATTAGACAGTGTAAACACAGTTGCTGTGGAGGATATAATTACAATTCAGTACAGCCCATTCATAGTATCCGTGACGTATTCATCTAGTCTTGCAGTGGTGCCATCAAAGAATGAAATCTGATGCTGATTTATGAAATGATTGCTTCTGCCCTGTAGCAAGAATGCTGTTTTAGAATTTACGTTCTGCAGACACTAAGATATCACTCTTGTTATCAAGTGGCAGTAGGTAATTTATTTGAATCAGTTGCATGTTTTTATTTATTTCTAGGATTTCTTTGGGAAGTCCGACCCTTTCCTGGAGTTCTACAGACAGACAGAAACTGGATGGCAGCTGGCTCACAGGACGGAGGTGCAGATTCACTCACTATGTGCCCTGTTCTCTGCTTCAGAGGCTTTTGGACACTGTGTTTAAAGTTTTACAGATGCTGCTCCCATCAAGGTTTTTCATCTGTTTTGTTGTGCAGGTGATAAAAAGCAACCTAAACCCAGTATGGAAACCCTTCCGGATCCCGCTGCAGTCGCTCTGTGGGGGGGACGTGGAGAAATCTATAAAGGTAGATGTACAAAGCAGCCTGTAATATTTAGAAAAGTCATATTCAGGTGTTATCATAATTGGGATAATTTAAAAAAAACAAAAAACAGACCAAATGTATTTGCTTGTGTCATACATACTAGCTACAGTAGAAATCACAATTATCTCATCCCAAAATTTGCCATTATGATCTTGGAAGCTTTTATTTTTTGTCTTGTAAAATCCTGAAAAGACTGAATGGAGGCCACACTGGGACCCCTGTTGTGTTGATATTCCTGCTACCAACAATGAAATGTTTTAGCATTAGTTCATATATGCTGTTTTTGTTTTTTTGTTTGTTTCCATCCTCTAACTCTGTTAAAGCAAACTTATCAGGAAGAGATGCTTGCCAGTCAACAGTTCAAGTGAGTTAACTGGCGACACAGTGAGTGCTCTTCACTTGAAGGATGCAGTGTCTGTGACAGGACAGGCCAAAGTCCTCGATGCATCTACATCTATCTTAAAGGAATACACAAAAGAGCGTGACCCTTTGGTGAACTTACCTGTTAAATGGAGCGCGTTAATCACTAACTACTGTATTTCATTAAACGAAACTAACAACACTGGAAAGAACGGGTCAACCTGAGATATGCAGCTAATCTTTATGAGTGAAATGGCATCGTTTTGAACTTCCCTGTTGAATAGGATCTGAAGCTTATACGTGTGGCTGATCACTCTAAACCTGGTCATTTTAAGTATTTATTGTTCAGATCAGCTGGCTATATGATAAAAAAAAAAAAACTTCCTCCTGTAGTTCTGCATGTTAATGATTCACAAAGACCTGATAAATATTACATTCTATAATTGGTAAGTGAACCAATGGGTCATTTTCTCAAAAGGTAGACGTTTTCCGTTAAGATGGATCACTCTTTTTAGTTCCCCATGAGCTTCCTTAGCTGTTACTCTGACTGTAGCATCACACAGTTTGTCTGAGCTCTACTGGTTGTTCCATACTGTATCTAGAGATGTCTGTCTTCTCCCTGTTGTCTCAGACTCTGAGCAGGTACTATATACTGCGGGAAACTGCCATTCTGTTTGACCGTTTAGACGGCTTGTGTGTGTTTCTGGTAGCTTTTTTTTAAGCGTGCGGACGTTGCGTTTGAAGCTTCACACCCATAGCATGCCTTTGTCTCATCTACTTTAATTTCCACACACTGATGATAACTAGGGTGCCAAATGTTTGCAGTTCCAAATCAAAGAGATTGACTGACTTGGTCTTGCTTCTTTTAACTGTCTGCCTTCCTCAGGTGGACTGCTACGACTACAACAACAGCGGATCTCACGACTTTATCGGATCCTTTCAATCCACACTTAGCCAAATCCAGCAGGGATCACAAACATATGCGGTGAGCTCAGTGTGTGTGTGTGTGTGTGTGTGTCTCTGTTTGTAAGTCAGAGCATTTTCTCAAAGCAGAAATGTGAGATGCTGTATCCTGACACCCGTACGGTGTGTTTCTCATCTTTTAAGGCTGAGTTTGACTGCATCAATAGCAAGAAGAAACAGAAGAAGAAAGGATACAAGAACTCCGGTGTCATCATCATCAAGCAATGCAAGGTACTCGAGAAATTATTGGATGTCTTAAACTGTGTGCGTGTGTGCGTGTGTGCGTGTGTGCGTGTGTGTGTGTGTGAGTGTGTGTGTGTGTGGGGGGGTTCAAACTATACCAAGAATACTGCGTACATGCGTGTACAATATTTTAGAACTTACTACATGTGTACACTTCAATAGACCAACACTACAGTGCAGTATCTCAGTCTGTGTATATTTACCGTAATATCTGGACTATAAGCCGTTACTTTTTCCACACGCTTTGAAAACGACAGCTTAAACAATGATGCGGTTAATTTATGGATTCATACGATTTTTACAAATTTGTCTCGAGACACTGAAGAAGTCGACTTTACCGGTTTTAGTGCAGGAGGAAGATGAAGATAGCGATCAATGACTTTTACAGGCAGTGTTTGGAAAAAAAGCATTTGTGTTTGTTACCGGTACGTATTTAATTAAAAGTTTAAAAAAAATCTTTCCGTGTAAATATCTTGTGTTGCAACGTGGACACCTGCAGCTTATAGACAAGTGCAGCCTGTATATGTACAAAACTTGGTTTCTTTTTAAAGTTAGTGCTTCTATGCAGGTGCACCCCATAGTCTGGAATTTACGGTAATTGTTTGAATAGTTTAAATAGTTACCTGTCAACATTTGTTTTGCAGATTGTGAAGGAGTATACGTTTCTGGATTACATCATGGGTGGCTGTCAGATCAACTTCACTGTGAGTGCCGCATATTCTTTGGAATCTTACCAAAAATGTATGCTTACTTTTTGTGTTTGTTCTTTTTTCTTAAATTCCTGGCTATATTGAAAATCTAATGTCTCCCGCCGGGGTCAGATTGCTATTGATTTCACAGGTTCCAACGGAAATCCCACTTTACCTCAGTCCCTCCACTACATCAACCCCCAAGGCTATAATGAATACCTGGCAGCTATCTGGGCAGTCGGTAACGTCATCCAGGACTATGACAGGTAAACACACTGGTTTGCATAAAGGATTAGGCTGGTACAGAATGAAAATTCAACACAAACCACTTGAGCATAGGGGCGTGTTTTCCCTCCTTCAGAACATTAGTCAGACAGACCGATTTAAAAGCAAATAGAATCTGAAGTTAAAGTCAACCAACAGTCACTTATGTCAGTCCTTTAGCATTCAGTGCATGTTGCCAGCCTACCTACGATAATCTGACTGTGATGTAACCTGCTGGTCTTCTGTTTGAACAGCCACCCCAGTCACTTTAATGAAAACAGTTTTACAAGCCTCAAAACATGTAAACATGCATCCTGTGCCACCTGCTAATCTACAAATATGGAAACAAATCATCACCTCTTCTGAACAAAATGCAAAACAGCCAAATTTTAAGATGTTCTGGACGTCCATTTTATATCAGAACAGTGTTGGGACAGTAATGGGAATACAGCAGTAGTAATCTGACCAACACGCTCTCCTGTTATTTCCAAAGTTCATTCTAAGTGCATGAATGATTCAGTGAATTCCCAGCAAAACACTTAATGCAACTTGTGAACTAACAGGAATTAAGCCAGAGTACCACTTTACCCTCCTGAAATTCAGTACTTTTGGATATTAAACAACACATTGTGAAAATGCCGGTGTTCCACGCCACATGTGTCTAAATGAAGCCATTCAGGATATTAATGTAGAAGTCACAGTTGTCCAAACAACCAAAGCCACCACTGTCAACCAGCACTGTTTCTTATCCCTTTTCTAAAGAAGGCTGTAATCCTTTGTGTATGCACACTTACTTGGATAATAACATCTATTGTATATCACTTTGTCTGCATAGTGACAAGATGTTTCCAGCTCTTGGTTTTGGAGCCCAGATTCCTCCAACGTGGCAGGTGATTGTTTCAGTTATGATATTTATGTGTGTTTTCCTCTAGTACATGAAAAAGCTTGTGTTAGATGAGTACAACTCAGGTCACTGCAATTATGTTTGTTTGGGATTTCCGGTTAATAGTTGTTTGTGTTTGCAGGTTTCCCACGAGTTTCCCATCAACTTCAACCCAGCGAATCCATTTTGTGAAGGTAATAACAAACTGAAGCTAATGTGAATTCGATGCCTTTCGTTTAACGAACATTACATTCAGGCTAAATTTAGAGTTGAGTCAGAGTGAAATATGTCAGATCAGAATGTTCTAACCTACAGAACAGCTGCTGTGGTATACTCAGGCAGTTGACGGGCTTTTGCATTGCAAACTAAGACACAAGATCTGTTTGTTATCCTGCAGAAGATCTGGCATTGGATATTCAAAGCATACATACAGGTTCTTCAATAGCCAGGAGAAAAACGATGCGTTTGATGAATTGATGTCAGTCAGGAGAAAAATGACTGACAATTGTGTTTAACATTAAAAAGATCAGTTGTGTCGACCATGACGTGTGATTCAACTCCTCACGAGGAATCTGAACTTCTCTTCTGTTCGTACTCGTCTCTTAAGTTAATCATCTTGTTGTGGCACGCTGTCCATTTCAAGTTGCGTAATCAACATGGAAATAAGTATAAAATAACTAACACGTGAATGTGACTCATTTGACATTAACTTTTGTATATACCCCTTTTTTTTTTTTGTAGGAATAGAGGGTGTGGTCACCGCCTACCAGCAGTGTCTGCCTCGGGTGAAGCTTTACGGCCCCACAAACTTTTCCCCCATCATCAACCACGTGGCCCAGTTCGGCAGACAGGCCCTGCAGCAGCAAACGGCCTCAGTGAGTCGCTGGAAGCATGAAATCAAAATAGTGTAGTTGTAGCTTTTGAAGTCCAAGTTTTTGTCCCCTTAGTTCTGATTCAGAAGGAGCCACTAAATAACCATGAAAGTAAACCGCTTCCACTGATCAATTCTGGGTTTTTTTTGTTTCGTCCCCATTGTGTTGATGTTTCACAGCAATACTTTGTCCTTCTGATCATCACTGACGGGGTGATCACAGACATGGATGAGACACGCAGCGCCATCGTCAGAGCCTCTCAGCTGCCCATGTCTATCATCATTGTCGGGGTAGGAGGGGCGGACTTCAGCGCCATGGAGTTCCTGGATGGAGACGATGGAATTCTGCGCTCGGCTACAGGCGAGCCGGCCATGCGGGACATTGTCCAGTTTGTGCCATTCAGGCAGTTCCAAAATGTAAGCTGCTGCAACTTCTAAAGCAAACTCTTTGTAGACATACTGAAGCTGAGCTGCTTTATTATCCTGAAATGCTGCATACATTTGAATGTTTGCACATCTTATTTCAGGCAGGCACTCCAGCCCTTGCACAAAGCGTACTGGCAGAGTTGCCTGACCAAGTGGCCTCCTTCTTCAATTTATTTGACCTGAAGCCCCCCAGCGAACCCAGCCCTTCCTAGAAATGTAGGAGCACCCCGACCGACCTGCTGACCCCATTCCCCTCCCTCTCACCCTGCATTTAATCCTCAGTTGCATGAACTTGGATAGAAACCAAATTGTTCTTTTTCACTGGCTTTTTTTGTTTTCATATCTTGTCTTTATGGGTTACAGTACGTGGGGGCATTCTGTCCTCATGTACTGTGTGGTGTACCAGTGTGCCTGTCAGGGTGCAAAACAGTAACACAAGACCACATCGTACTGTAGAAGCTTTGCTCTTGTACCACAGTTTCTAACTTTGGACTAAATGATCAGAGATTTTTGAGCCCTCTGATTAAATCAGAATGCACATTAATACCATTTATATGTCGAGATTAGACCTTTGGCTAGCTTAGTGTTGTAGGATAGTTCACGTTTGTGTCGCTACAGTACTTTGTGTGTTGTCTGCTACTTTAACTGCTCTGTATATGAGATGGAAGTTTATTATGGGAGCAGCGGTCTTTATGATGCAGCAATTAATCCCATCTGGAGGATTATTCAATACATTAATGGTCTCAACTTTTGTTCTCATTTTAAATATGGTGTAAAAGTGAAGTGGTGAACATATTTCCCTACACAAAAAAAATCTTCCAACATCTAACCACCATCTTGCTGTAGATTTTAGTAAATCANCTGAGAAAAACGTAATCATTTCTGACATGGCATTTTAGCTCAAATAGGAAAATATAGAAACAGAAAAACTTTAAGCATTAACGTCTCTAACACGATGTCTTCCTGTCTTTTTTCAGTTGTTTATGACATTTTTAGCAAAAATAACCCAATTGGTCAACTAGAAATACATCGTGAATCAAAATTTGGGATGAATTTTGGGTTTTACTGCATCTAGATGTGTCAGTGTCTACGATGACTCATCTGGACTCAAACAGTAATAACACCTGCTGAGTAAATATTATGTGTGGATCATGTGTTTCCCAAGAATGCAAATGGCTGCAAATGTCAGCACACATCATGTTTATTAAGCGTTGTCCATTTTCTGTTCACCTCTGTTTGTGTTTGTCAGTTGTTGCGTGGTGAGTGTTTGTCCTCCAGGCTGCGATGGCGGCGGCGGTGGGACCTCCGGGGCCCAGGGCCACAGACTGCGTGACCAAGGTGGCACTGACCATCTCGTGTGACAATCTGCTCGACATGGACGCGTTCTCAAAGTCCGACCCTATGTGTGTGCTTCTCATGAACACCTCAGGGCCCCACTGGTGTGAGGTAAGGAGGAGAAAACGTTCTGCTGGGATTGTGCTCATCTGTGATCATTTTTAATATTCATTTAAAGTAATTTTTTAGTATTTTGGGACAGTTCTGAAACAAGATACTTGAGGCACGATGATAATTGTATATCTTATTGTATTATCTATTGTTATTTGTGTCAGATTGGTCGAACAGAGAAAATCCAGAACTGCCTTAATCCCAAGTTTTCCAAGACTCTGCTCCTTGACTACTACTTTGAGATGGTGCAGAAGCTGAGGTTTGAAGTTTACGATATCGACAGTGAAAACTGCAGTCTGCAAGACGCCGACTTCCTGGGAGAACTGGAGTGTACCTTGGGACAGGTTCGCCCACATTACTTACCACCACCAATGCCTGTTGATCATGATTGTTTGTCTTTGTCAGAGTTAAAAATCACATACTGTAAAAACAGTATGCATCAGTGGAAGTGGTTTTGGTGCTGACTAGTGACAGCTAAGATGTGTCTTTCTCTTCAGATTGTGTCCTCAAGGAAAATAACAAGACCACTTGTTAAGAAGGACAAGAGGCCAGCAGGGAAGGGCTCCATTACTGTAAGTTTGTTTCATTCAGGGAGCTGTTTGATGCAAAAAGAGCATTTAATTTATTTGAATTGATCATTCAAGATTCAAGGTTAATTTTATTGTTCCAGCTGTGGGAAATGTGTCTTGGATCCATGCTGCAGTCAACACAAGCAGTCACAAACAGGGAATACACAGTTAATAGATAGAATAAATAAATGCAAGCATACATCAGGTGAAAGCAGAATAAAATATAATATCATAGTCTTATTTCGTGAGTCCAAAACATGGCATTTTAAAAAACAGTTTGAGCTATTTGTCTTTATTAATTAGCCTAACTGATGCCGGAACACATTGATTTTTAAATGTGTTCAATCGGCAGCGTGGGACTCTGAGGCTTCTTCCAGAAGGTAACCACTCATCCTCTGAGTGCAGAGCGTGTGATGGATCCTCAGGATCTTGTTGTCCAGGCGCTGAGCAGCCTGTTGATAGATGTTTTGCAGGGAGGGGTGCTCCTGCTCACCTATAATTTTCCACGCAGTGTGGACTAGACGCAGCAGCTTGTTTTTCAGCTGAGCAGAGAGGCTGTGATGCTGTATCTGACCACACTCTGCAGCAGTGCATGGAAGAAGATTATCATGATCTTCTTGTCCACCCCATGGATTCTTAAGCGACGCAGGAAATACAGTCGTTGCTGCAGTCTGCTGCACAAGTAGTCGACATGTGCTCCAGGTTAATGTGTTATCGATAGAGACCCCTAGATACGTGTCAGTGTTAACCTGAGCAGTAGTTGGATCATGGATGACCACTGTCCTGTGGTCCCCAATCCCCCCTGGGGGTCAAACACAATCACTTTTGTTTTGCTTGCGTTGCATTTATTTATATATATGTTTTGGTGTATTTGCACATGTTGAATGTTTTAAAGACAATGTTGTTTCATGTTTTCTAGATCTGTGCAGAAGAAAGAACAGACAACAGGGTGGTGGTGTTTGAAGCTGCAGCCAGAAAACTAGACAAGAAGGTATTGATGGCTGCATTATGTACATGTATTAGGACATTATATCATAGATGATCTGACAGGAGTAAATAATCAGTCAGAATTCTCCCTTACAACTGGAGGTTAGATTTTATTAGACTAGTTTCACCACAAACAACTATGTCAGGGCTGCGGCAACTATCGTGGTTAGCTTGGGTGTTTCCCACAAGTTTCTAATGGTGGTGGTGATTATTTATAGTGCAGCAACACGATGAGAATGTCACAACTAAGGCTCAGCAATGTGCCGCTGTATCAAAGTGAATGAACGATTTTTAAGAACAGCTATCACATGACAGGAGTTCCCGCTTAAGGAAAGAGACACAGAAGTTGTCTGGGTGTAACTCCAGCTGGATAAGTGAATTAGACAGTGTAAACACAGTTGCTGTGGAGGATATAATTACAATTCAGTACAGCCCATTCATAGTATCCGTGACGTATTCATCTAGTCTTGCAGTGGTGCCATCAAAGAATGAAATCTGATGCTGATTTATGAAATGATTGCTTCTGCCCTGTAGCAAGAATGCTGTTTTAGAATTTACGTTCTGCAGACACTAAGATATCACTCTTGTTATCAAGTGGCAGTAGGTAATTTATTTGAATCAGTTGCATGTTTTTATTTATTTCTAGGATTTCTTTGGGAAGTCCGACCCTTTCCTGGAGTTCTACAGACAGACAGAAACTGGATGGCAGCTGGCTCACAGGACGGAGGTGCAGATTCACTCACTATGTGCCCTGTTCTCTGCTTCAGAGGCTTTTGGACACTGTGTTTAAAGTTTTACAGATGCTGCTCCCATCAAGGTTTTTCATCTGTTTTGTTGTGCAGGTGATAAAAAGCAACCTAAACCCAGTATGGAAACCCTTCCGGATCCCGCTGCAGTCGCTCTGTGGGGGGGACGTGGAGAAATCTATAAAGGTAGATGTACAAAGCAGCCTGTAATATTTAGAAAAGTCATATTCAGGTGTTATCATAATTGGGATAATTTAAAAAAAACAAAAAACAGACCAAATGTATTTGCTTGTGTCATACATACTAGCTACAGTAGAAATCACAATTATCTCATCCCAAAATTTGCCATTATGATCTTGGAAGCTTTTATTTTTTGTCTTGTAAAATCCTGAAAAGACTGAATGGAGGCCACACTGGGACCCCTGTTGTGTTGATATTCCTGCTACCAACAATGAAATGTTTTAGCATTAGTTCATATATGCTGTTTTTGTTTTTTTGTTTGTTTCCATCCTCTAACTCTGTTAAAGCAAACTTATCAGGAAGAGATGCTTGCCAGTCAACAGTTCAAGTGAGTTAACTGGCGACACAGTGAGTGCTCTTCACTTGAAGGATGCAGTGTCTGTGACAGGACAGGCCAAAGTCCTCGATGCATCTACATCTATCTTAAAGGAATACACAAAAGAGCGTGACCCTTTGGTGAACTTACCTGTTAAATGGAGCGCGTTAATCACTAACTACTGTATTTCATTAAACGAAACTAACAACACTGGAAAGAACGGGTCAACCTGAGATATGCAGCTAATCTTTATGAGTGAAATGGCATCGTTTTGAACTTCCCTGTTGAATAGGATCTGAAGCTTATACGTGTGGCTGATCACTCTAAACCTGGTCATTTTAAGTATTTATTGTTCAGATCAGCTGGCTATATGATAAAAAAAAAAAAACTTCCTCCTGTAGTTCTGCATGTTAATGATTCACAAAGACCTGATAAATATTACATTCTATAATTGGTAAGTGAACCAATGGGTCATTTTCTCAAAAGGTAGACGTTTTCCGTTAAGATGGATCACTCTTTTTAGTTCCCCATGAGCTTCCTTAGCTGTTACTCTGACTGTAGCATCACACAGTTTGTCTGAGCTCTACTGGTTGTTCCATACTGTATCTAGAGATGTCTGTCTTCTCCCTGTTGTCTCAGACTCTGAGCAGGTACTATATACTGCGGGAAACTGCCATTCTGTTTGACCGTTTAGACGGCTTGTGTGTGTTTCTGGTAGCTTTTTTTTAAGCGTGCGGACGTTGCGTTTGAAGCTTCACACCCATAGCATGCCTTTGTCTCATCTACTTTAATTTCCACACACTGATGATAACTAGGGTGCCAAATGTTTGCAGTTCCAAATCAAAGAGATTGACTGACTTGGTCTTGCTTCTTTTAACTGTCTGCCTTCCTCAGGTGGACTGCTACGACTACAACAACAGCGGATCTCACGACTTTATCGGATCCTTTCAATCCACACTTAGCCAAATCCAGCAGGGATCACAAACATATGCGGTGAGCTCAGTGTGTGTGTGTGTGTGTGTGTGTCTCTGTTTGTAAGTCAGAGCATTTTCTCAAAGCAGAAATGTGAGATGCTGTATCCTGACACCCGTACGGTGTGTTTCTCATCTTTTAAGGCTGAGTTTGACTGCATCAATAGCAAGAAGAAACAGAAGAAGAAAGGATACAAGAACTCCGGTGTCATCATCATCAAGCAATGCAAGGTACTCGAGAAATTATTGGATGTCTTAAACTGTGTGCGTGTGTGCGTGTGTGCGTGTGTGCGTGTGTGTGTGTGTGAGTGTGTGTGTGTGTGGGGGGGTTCAAACTATACCAAGAATACTGCGTACATGCGTGTACAATATTTTAGAACTTACTACATGTGTACACTTCAATAGACCAACACTACAGTGCAGTATCTCAGTCTGTGTATATTTACCGTAATATCTGGACTATAAGCCGTTACTTTTTCCACACGCTTTGAAAACGACAGCTTAAACAATGATGCGGTTAATTTATGGATTCATACGATTTTTACAAATTTGTCTCGAGACACTGAAGAAGTCGACTTTACCGGTTTTAGTGCAGGAGGAAGATGAAGATAGCGATCAATGACTTTTACAGGCAGTGTTTGGAAAAAAAGCATTTGTGTTTGTTACCGGTACGTATTTAATTAAAAGTTTAAAAAAAATCTTTCCGTGTAAATATCTTGTGTTGCAACGTGGACACCTGCAGCTTATAGACAAGTGCAGCCTGTATATGTACAAAACTTGGTTTCTTTTTAAAGTTAGTGCTTCTATGCAGGTGCACCCCATAGTCTGGAATTTACGGTAATTGTTTGAATAGTTTAAATAGTTACCTGTCAACATTTGTTTTGCAGATTGTGAAGGAGTATACGTTTCTGGATTACATCATGGGTGGCTGTCAGATCAACTTCACTGTGAGTGCCGCATATTCTTTGGAATCTTACCAAAAATGTATGCTTACTTTTTGTGTTTGTTCTTTTTTCTTAAATTCCTGGCTATATTGAAAATCTAATGTCTCCCGCCGGGGTCAGATTGCTATTGATTTCACAGGTTCCAACGGAAATCCCACTTTACCTCAGTCCCTCCACTACATCAACCCCCAAGGCTATAATGAATACCTGGCAGCTATCTGGGCAGTCGGTAACGTCATCCAGGACTATGACAGGTAAACACACTGGTTTGCATAAAGGATTAGGCTGGTACAGAATGAAAATTCAACACAAACCACTTGAGCATAGGGGCGTGTTTTCCCTCCTTCAGAACATTAGTCAGACAGACCGATTTAAAAGCAAATAGAATCTGAAGTTAAAGTCAACCAACAGTCACTTATGTCAGTCCTTTAGCATTCAGTGCATGTTGCCAGCCTACCTACGATAATCTGACTGTGATGTAACCTGCTGGTCTTCTGTTTGAACAGCCACCCCAGTCACTTTAATGAAAACAGTTTTACAAGCCTCAAAACATGTAAACATGCATCCTGTGCCACCTGCTAATCTACAAATATGGAAACAAATCATCACCTCTTCTGAACAAAATGCAAAACAGCCAAATTTTAAGATGTTCTGGACGTCCATTTTATATCAGAACAGTGTTGGGACAGTAATGGGAATACAGCAGTAGTAATCTGACCAACACGCTCTCCTGTTATTTCCAAAGTTCATTCTAAGTGCATGAATGATTCAGTGAATTCCCAGCAAAACACTTAATGCAACTTGTGAACTAACAGGAATTAAGCCAGAGTACCACTTTACCCTCCTGAAATTCAGTACTTTTGGATATTAAACAACACATTGTGAAAATGCCGGTGTTCCACGCCACATGTGTCTAAATGAAGCCATTCAGGATATTAATGTAGAAGTCACAGTTGTCCAAACAACCAAAGCCACCACTGTCAACCAGCACTGTTTCTTATCCCTTTTCTAAAGAAGGCTGTAATCCTTTGTGTATGCACACTTACTTGGATAATAACATCTATTGTATATCACTTTGTCTGCATAGTGACAAGATGTTTCCAGCTCTTGGTTTTGGAGCCCAGATTCCTCCAACGTGGCAGGTGATTGTTTCAGTTATGATATTTATGTGTGTTTTCCTCTAGTACATGAAAAAGCTTGTGTTAGATGAGTACAACTCAGGTCACTGCAATTATGTTTGTTTGGGATTTCCGGTTAATAGTTGTTTGTGTTTGCAGGTTTCCCACGAGTTTCCCATCAACTTCAACCCAGCGAATCCATTTTGTGAAGGTAATAACAAACTGAAGCTAATGTGAATTCGATGCCTTTCGTTTAACGAACATTACATTCAGGCTAAATTTAGAGTTGAGTCAGAGTGAAATATGTCAGATCAGAATGTTCTAACCTACAGAACAGCTGCTGTGGTATACTCAGGCAGTTGACGGGCTTTTGCATTGCAAACTAAGACACAAGATCTGTTTGTTATCCTGCAGAAGATCTGGCATTGGATATTCAAAGCATACATACAGGTTCTTCAATAGCCAGGAGAAAAACGATGCGTTTGATGAATTGATGTCAGTCAGGAGAAAAATGACTGACAATTGTGTTTAACATTAAAAAGATCAGTTGTGTCGACCATGACGTGTGATTCAACTCCTCACGAGGAATCTGAACTTCTCTTCTGTTCGTACTCGTCTCTTAAGTTAATCATCTTGTTGTGGCACGCTGTCCATTTCAAGTTGCGTAATCAACATGGAAATAAGTATAAAATAACTAACACGTGAATGTGACTCATTTGACATTAACTTTTGTATATACCCCTTTTTTTTTTTTGTAGGAATAGAGGGTGTGGTCACCGCCTACCAGCAGTGTCTGCCTCGGGTGAAGCTTTACGGCCCCACAAACTTTTCCCCCATCATCAACCACGTGGCCCAGTTCGGCAGACAGGCCCTGCAGCAGCAAACGGCCTCAGTGAGTCGCTGGAAGCATGAAATCAAAATAGTGTAGTTGTAGCTTTTGAAGTCCAAGTTTTTGTCCCCTTAGTTCTGATTCAGAAGGAGCCACTAAATAACCATGAAAGTAAACCGCTTCCACTGATCAATTCTGGGTTTTTTTTGTTTCGTCCCCATTGTGTTGATGTTTCACAGCAATACTTTGTCCTTCTGATCATCACTGACGGGGTGATCACAGACATGGATGAGACACGCAGCGCCATCGTCAGAGCCTCTCAGCTGCCCATGTCTATCATCATTGTCGGGGTAGGAGGGGCGGACTTCAGCGCCATGGAGTTCCTGGATGGAGACGATGGAATTCTGCGCTCGGCTACAGGCGAGCCGGCCATGCGGGACATTGTCCAGTTTGTGCCATTCAGGCAGTTCCAAAATGTAAGCTGCTGCAACTTCTAAAGCAAACTCTTTGTAGACATACTGAAGCTGAGCTGCTTTATTATCCTGAAATGCTGCATACATTTGAATGTTTGCACATCTTATTTCAGGCAGGCACTCCAGCCCTTGCACAAAGCGTACTGGCAGAGTTGCCTGACCAAGTGGCCTCCTTCTTCAATTTATTTGACCTGAAGCCCCCCAGCGAACCCAGCCCTTCCTAGAAATGTAGGAGCACCCCGACCGACCTGCTGACCCCATTCCCCTCCCTCTCACCCTGCATTTAATCCTCAGTTGCATGAACTTGGATAGAAACCAAATTATTCTTTTTCACTGGCTTTTTTTGTTTTCATATCTTGTCTTTATGGGTTACAGTACGTGGGGGCATTCTGTCCTCATGTACTGTGTGGTGTACCAGTGTGCCTGTCAGGGTGCAAAACAGTAACACAAGACCACATCGTACTGTAGAAGCTTTGCTCTTGTACCACAGTTTCTAACTTTGGACTAAATGATCAGAGATTTTTGAGCCCTCTGATTAAATCAGAATGCACATTAATACCATTTATATGTCGAGATTAGACCTTTGGCTAGCTTAGTGTTGTAGGATAGTTCACGTTTGTGTCGCTACAGTACTTTGTGTGTTGTCTGCTACTTTAACTGCTCTGTATATGAGATGGAAGTTTATTATGGGAGCAGCGGTCTTTATGATGCAGCAATTAATCCCATCTGGAGGATTATTCAATACATTAATGGTCTCAACTTTTGTTCTCATTTTAAATATGGTGTAAAAGTGAAGTGGTGAACATATTTCCCTACACAAAAAAAATCTTCCAACATCTAACCACCATCTTGCTGTAGATTTTAGTAAATCATATACAGTCGTGACTCAATAATCCGACCCTTAACAATCCGAAAACCTTGTTGTCCGACAGCTTTTTAGGAAAAACGAACGGAACCCATTAAAAACAGCCTTAACATACCGACAGCCTTGGATTCCGACTCCGACGTGACATTTTATGTCATCAATCAGGATAACGGCGTATTATCTGACTGAACAATCCCACAGATTGGCTACGTTCAGTCTGCAGGACTTGATGCTCAATTTAGATTTTTTTGTGAATTTTCTTGCGAGTTCGTTCACATTTCCGGTTAAATGCAACTTGTATGTGATCTGTTGTGTGAACTTCATGCGACCCAAAAGTGTCCCGCATGCGCAGAAGAAGACACGACGACGTCACACGCAGCGAGCGTGCTCAGTGTTTATGGGAGTGGCGGCGATGGTGGAAACAGAAATGTGTCTGCTATCCTAAACTGGCATCAGCAGCCAAGTACTACCTGTGCGTTCAGGCCACTTCCACCTCGTCGGAGCGCTCCCCCGGGGTGGACGTGTCCCCCGACCGTGCTGAATATTTGGATATTCATCATTAATTGGGCCTGAATATCCAGAGACCACAAAGTTCTATTGGGACCAGCCCTACTAGTTATTATAATAACTATGAACAATAAGTATTACCAAATGAGCCTTCCAGCATCAAGCCCTCCTTGTATCTCGACCTCCGTCCTGACAGTCCGACAGCCTTGCTATCCGACATAAAAGAAGGTTTTACATTTAGTGTCGGATTATCGAGTCACAACTGCACTAATTTGAAAATTTAAACACTTCTGTTAAGACGAAATGAGCAACAGGTGAGTGGTTCCTCTCTACAGTTTGAATACAGCACTCCTTAGCAAGTCTGTGCAACCCCATGCTTTTGTTTAGTTGCTTATTAATTTCCTCGCTTTCTCTTGCTGCAGCTTGTACATTCACAGCGATCAGTCACAACAGTTAAACCTTGGGCTCATTGTTTGGTTCCTCAAGCTGTTCCTGAGCAGTTTTGGAGGTGTGGTGGGGTGTGCTGTTTCCCATGAAGGGGTGTACTTTGCAAAAAAAATGTTTAGGTGGATGGTACATGCCAAAGTAACATCCACATGAATGACAGGACCCAAAGCTTCCCAACAGAGCATCACATAGTATTGAGATGATCGCTGCCTTTCTTGTTACCTGTCAGTGTGTTATGTTGTGGCTGATCGGTGTATATGCGTATATAAAAACATATACACATATATAGCTGTCTGTTTCACTTTTTTGTGTGTCTCTGCCCCTTCTCTGCAGGGTCCTCAAGAGATGCTGGCTCAGAGTGTCTTGGCAGAAGTCCCCGGTCAGGTGACGAGCTTCTTCAACAGCATGGGTTTGAAGCCACCTCACGGCGACGCACCTCCCTCTGATCCCTCAGCATCGGCGCCCCCTCTGTGATGTATTCTACCTTGTGAGACTCAGCCTTCCTCCTCAACGTCCCCAAATATCTAGCCGTTTCTTACCCGCATTGTTGGAGGCGAGTCCGCTTTAACTCTGGAACTGTGTATTCAGCGTCCTTTCCTTTCTAATCTAACCTTCTGGCCATATTAGCCTGTGGCATGCAGTGTGGTAGACACGTGATGCTTTGTTGACACTATATAGAAGTTATAGTGTAAAGCCATAGAACAGTGATATCACCACTGACGTTTCCTAACATTTGTTAACCTATGCTTAACACAGATGTTCACTGTGATACTTACTTCTTACTTTATGCGACTCAAGTGCCAGAATTGTGTAAAATTTAAATGATTTCTTCTGTTATGACCTTTTGAAAGCTTTAAAGCTGGGATGTGTCAAAGGATGTCGATATTTGAACAAAGCAGCCTAAACAACAAGCCCCTCTTTAGTGCTTCATCAGGAGCCTTGCCCCTCAAATTCATTCATTTAACACAAACAACTGGGCTAGTAGACAAAGGGAGAGATGTTCTTTTGATCATAGGTGAAGCAAAACAAACTGGCTTAGTTCAGTTATTTGGCCTTGAGAACCACAGAGCCAGCTGCAGACCTCATCCTTTCCCAGGCAGAGCTGGAGCAAACACCTGTGCTGACCTGCTGCTATAGTTAAGATAAGAGAAACTTTATCGATCCCTTTCCGGGGAAATCCACAAGTCGCTGCACTAATGAGCTCGGCAGAGGATGTGGTCTCGGTCTGTGTCTACGAACAAAGAAACAGAGCCAGTTGATAACGAAACTGACTTCCCACTCGACATTTCCCGCTGGAAACCTGCTCAACAAGCTGCTGCTGCATAAAAACCATCCCCTGCAACAATACGAGGGAGTCGTGTTTTAAAAATGTCTTGTGCATCCAATACTAATAATAATCTGTGTGCGAGCATGAACGCCCCCATCGGTGCTTGGCTGGAGTAGCGCTGTGTGGATCAATCTTCCACTTAGATTACCAGCTGTGTATAAATGCCAAAGTTTATTTTGGCACACACAGGACGGACAGTTAGCAGAGCATGATGAGACAGAAATTTGACGGAAAGCATTTTGGATTGCTCCACCTTTTAATGGAAACTTGACTCAAGGTCTTTGTTTTTTTGTGGAAGAACGGAGGCAGCTAATAACAGTCACCTCATTAGTCTGTCAATGTGTCAGTCAAGCGTCTACATGAAAGGGCTCGAGTACCTAAATAGGTATTCCCATAGTACTGCAGCCATCACTTTGTTTGTTGTCAACGTTTCATATTACATTTGAAATCATGGATATTGACCAAAGCTATAGCTTTCACAATACAATTCAGGTATGCTTCGGTAATGTTTACGGAATGAATCCTGGAACCTTTTGTAAACTTTCCACTGCAAGAACTGTTGTTTTGTAGTTGTTTTGTACTTTAGTTTCATTTATTTTTTTATAAATTCCATATTTGCAATTGATTTGACGTAGGATCTGGTGCTTTTACGTACGTGTTGAACAGGAAGAATCCTTTAGTCACACAGTTTACAGAGCATCCTGAGACGTTTCACTCTGTCTTAAGAGATAAAAGTAGTAAAAACATGTCACCTTGCTGAGTGTTATGAAAATGGTCCGACGTATTTCATGTATGTGTAAATTCATTGTTAAGTTGTTGTTTGCACTGATCACTGTGCCATTGCCTTATGTACCATACATGTCTTCGTCATAGATGTTGATTTTATCAGTATTTTACGTTTATATGATATGCAAAGCAACACACATTTATCTAACCGGCATGATAGCCAGCGTATATTTCACATTTTTTATGTCAAATTATCAGATAATTAGATGTATTTTTATGTTTGTTATTTCATGTCATGATATTCAAGAAAAACTAAAGTGACTGACATTAGCAGAGATTCAGATCAACAGTCAGTTTTCTGCATTGTTGAAATGTGTTTGTGTTTGTAATTAGATGGATATTTTCCTCACACACGTCTTAGGATGTGCATTTAAAAAAATGTAACACACTCCACTACACTGTCACTTTTGATATACGTACGCAGTATAAAGAAATCAATGAAAGATTTGGAATGCTGTCTGTTTTCTGTCCCGTGTTGTTGTTTGTGTCTTTTCTGCATCATTTCTGGTGGAAATGTATTTATGTGTAGAAAAACTAAATTCAGTCAGTTCAAAACTAAATATTATGCAGTGAGGTTTCCAGGTATTCTGTGTTGCTTTACTGTCGACTTTCTAATTTAGCATTGTCTGTGCTGAGTCAGCACACATTTAGGCAGGATTTTCTCTGTTGGTCTTTTTGTTGGCCACAACAGAAAAGCTTTATTATCTCGCGTGTGTTTGGCAGGATTTCTGCTCATGTTCAAAAGTTTCCGCACGGTCAGGACGTCTCACACTTATCTGCCTTTGACATGCTAAAGAAAAGAGGCCCTCCCTACACATTATAGACCTTAGCATCGTGTTATAAACATGCTCTAATGCTGAAGGAGACATATCACCTCCATTCCTCCTAAAATCTTTGTCTTTACTTGTGCTCCTCAATCAATTAGAATATCATGAAAAAGCTTCATATTTTTCACTTTTTTGTTGATAATCATGGCCAACAGCTAAAAAGAAATATGAAGAAACATCTCAAAATATTAGATTATTTCCATTATAAGTTTGAGAAAATTACACAGTATACCTCTCCGTCTAGTATTCACACCACAATCACGAGGAGGACTGCTGACTTGAACGTTGTCCAGAATACACTCTTCACAAAGAGGAGAGGCCACAGAAGGTCATTGCTCAACAGGCTGCTGTTGACAGAGAGCTAATTCAAAGCAGCGTAACAAAAAGTAGACTGGAAGGGAAACGTGTGGTAGGAAAAGGTGCACAAGCAGGATGGAAAAGACTGTCCAGAAAAGTCGATTCAAGAACTTGGGAGAGCTTCACAATAAGTGGATCGAGAGCCTCTGGACGTCTTGAGGAAAGGAGCTGCAGCTGTCACATTCCTAACATCAAGCTACTCCTGAAAAAGAGACGTCAGAAGACTTTATCTGGACCTAGGAGAAAAAAAACTAGACTGTTGCTCAGCTGTCCAAAGTCCTCTTTTCATCTCGATAGGCAGCTATAGAGTAATTGTGCCCGTGTGTCACACTGAAGGTTTCAAATTTTAAATCCAGTATAACTTGGAAAATGTGCAAGATAAACACGTAGTTTATTATTACAATCAGATAGGAACCCATACTGTTTTTTTTAGTTGTTTTTTTTTTTGCCTTTTTACCTTCATTTGACAGGACAGTAGAGAGAGAGAGAGACAGGAAAGGGGGGAGAAGAATGGGGGAGGGACCTGCAGCAATTGGCCATGGGCTGGATTCGAACCCACAACCGCTGTGTTGGAGACTATAGCCCCAGTACATGGGTTGCCAGCTCAACCAGTTGAACTATAGCTGCAGCTGAGGAACCCATATTGGTGCTGTGACATTTAAAGTTGGATGAAAGGTCAAGGTCAACCTCAAGGTCATAAATCTTTGGTGCTAGTCCTATAAATAACAACAAAACACTTCCCCTCCATTCAAAATATCTGCATTACATGACAGACTGAGCTCTTGTTACATTATAGATCATTTTAAGTCAAGTTCATCCTCAAGTAGGCAAAACTGATCCCACAGAATCAGGTAAACATGCACACGCTGGGCAACTATGTCCCTCTACTGAGGGCTCTCTAGTTTTGATTTGTATTAGGAAATTAATCATTTGAAGTACTGGATTTCTGATTTTTGTGAGGTAGAAGCCATACTTATCAAAATTGAAACCATAAGAGTCATGACATATAGTTTACTTTGCCTGAAATTAATGCAGAATCTAGAAAATATCCAAAGTTTATTTATTTATTTATTTTTAATTAAATCCTTTTGAGTTTATCTTTTTGAATAGAAGAAAAAAAAAAACTAACTTTTTAAATCATTTGAAGTACTGGACTTCTGATTTTCATGAGGTAGAAGCCACAATTGCCAAAAATTAAACCAAAAAAAAGTCATGACATATATTTTACTTTGCCTGAAATTAATCTAGAATCTAGAAAATATCGATATATTTTTTTAATTAATCCTTTTGAGTTTATCTTTTTGAATAAAAGGAAATTTTTATTTTATTTTAAATGATTTGAAGTATTGGATTTCTGATTTTCATGAGGTAGAAGCCACAATTACCAAAAATTAAAACAAAAAAAGTCATGACATATAGTTTAATTTGCCTGAAATTAATCTAGAATCTAGAAAATATCGATATATTTTTTTAATTAATCCTTTTGAGTTTATCTTTTTGAATAGAAGAAAAAACTTTTTTTGAACGATATTCTAAGTGCTGATGTGATCATGGACACCACACAGCAGCAGCAGCAGCAGCAGAGGCACCGCCCGTTTCCCAGGCGGGGCGCGCTTCAGCGGGGGACGGGCTGCTGTCAGTGGGCGTCGCTGGTCATGCTGAGGGCAGAGCGTACACGGTCTACACTGCGGAGCAACAGAGGCCACACTTTCTCATTGGAAAAGAACCAAGTGACACTGGCAGCCCGGAGAAAACATCCCTAGCAGGAGCGTTTCCTTCCCCTCGAGTCTTGCAACGAGTCCCGCATCTTTAACGGTAAGCTCCAACTTCTGGCTAATGCGGAAGCTAACGCAGCAAACCAGCTAAGCTAATTAGTGTTCAGTTCATTAGCCCCCGTTAGCCTGCTGCTAGCTGGATGACGGCAGTTGGACTTTAGTTATCCGTTAGCTGTTGTGTTCCCCCACCCTCTTCTGCACCTCATTTGTGCTTGTTGTGTCATATTTTCCATGAGAGGCTGTTACTGGTTCACCAGACTTCCAGTAATAAAGGCTCAGGTGTTTATGCGGCTGTATAACACTGAACTCGTGAGCTACTTTAGCTAAAGTTGATGCTAATGTTGTGAAGTTAGCTGTAGTTTACACACTGTATTGATCTGAGCTGTAGGTGGGTGTGTTTACTGCAGTTGTGTAAAAAAAAAAACAAAAAAAAAGGAAAAGAAGTGGTTATCCAGTTTCTAAAAGTCTGCTGCTTTGGTCTGGATCAGCCACTCATGACATAGAAATAAACAGAGCTTTATGTCTGTACTCATAACAGAAATGTGTCTTTAAGAAGGTTTCAAGTTCATTGCATCTGAATAACTGTGCTAGAAAAAAAAAGGTTTGCAGCCTAAAGTGTAATCAGGCATGGCATTTTGAGTAATTATAGGCAAATTTAGGCTGGAAGTGTTTGGTATGTCTAATATCCTGGTTCAGCCTGTAATTAACATGATTTAATGATGGATTTTATATACACGTAGAAGAAATTATCTCTTATTCTATGGGCTGTAATCTTTAAAATATAACCCTCATGGATGAGATCGAGTCATTCTGATGCATTAATAATATTTCAGTCACAATTTATGAGCTGCAATCACATGTTGGCACATGGAAGATTGGTTGGGTTCCTCCTTTAGAGCTGTTCCAACAGGTAGACAGAACTGGATTGGTTATAATCTAGTTCCCAGAGAACAGACATAATAGTACACTGAAATGTGTAATGTCATTGTTGACTAAAGTAAACTCAGAGATTTAAGATGAAAACCTCTAAACAAAATCATTGCCTGCATCTTTTTAGTGTCTTTTATCCCAGTAGTGTTGCAGGAGTTCACAGTCACAGGATCCACACTCTTATGTTCACAGAAATAATGTCTGAACTTTAATGGTCTTGATGAAACATCTCAGCAAACTGCACATCCCAGTCACTTATGGCTATGTCAGATTTGTGCAATGACTTGTATCTTATCCCTGCACAGGGGTGGCATAATAGCCTTCAATGCCTATTTTTAGAATACAAAAGCAGACAGGGAAGGCATGATCTCAAGGGACTCCTCACGCCCTCACCATAAACTGTTTGAATTGTTTCTGGAGCAGTAAAGGAAGAACCTCCAGACTCATGAACAGCTTCATGCCACAATCTGTCAGAATGCTGAACTGCTGATCCAGATATGCAAACATTTAAATTGCTTTAAGTTGTTGGATCCTGAACAAACGCTCTCTCATTTTGCCTGTACTACTGTGTATGTACAGCAAAATGACAATAAACTTGATTTGATTTTGACTTGATCTGTTCAAAGTTACAGTCATTGCAGCCATATAATGAACTAAATGTGCATTTACCGCTGAGCAAAACAGGCAAGTATGAATTTAAGCCAAACTTAAGCCCTGAAGAAGGTACGAGCACAGACAACAACTTACAGCTGCATCTCTGACTCAGGCGTGCACATAATCACTGTCAGCCCACTTGTTGAGTGATGAACTTGTTGTGTGCAGATGTCAGGTTGCTCACTCTTACAGTGATTGATTTAAATGTGTTTCACTCACGCCTATCTGTCTGTGTTGTTGTATACAGTATCAAGAAATCACTGAAAGATTTGCTTTACCTGTTTTCTGTCCTATTTTGTCGCTTGTTTGTGCCTTTTCTGCATCATTTCTGGTGGAAATGTCTTTATGTGTAGAAAAACAAGGTGACAATTCAAATATATAGTGAAATATAATGAAGTGAGGTTTTCAAGCTTTCAAATATTTACACTGAACTTGTTTAATAATATCTCTGCTGAGTCAACACACGTTTGGGGAATGATTTTCTCCTCTGGCGTATTTGTCTTGTTTTGTTTGGGGAAGTGACTCATTTAAATGTGTTTGTAGAACCTTTTTTACATCAATAATAAATGAATTAATTGTAATCCATTTATAAACTCTTGGGCTTTTATTACTTATATGTTTGGCAAGATTCAAACCTTTCTGCTTTCTTCACACCTGTCTGTCTGTGTTGTTTCTCCAGCTTGTTTCCAGTCAGACATGGCTGCCCAGTGTGTAACCAAGGTGGAGCTGACTGTATCCTGTCAGAACCTCCTGGACAAAGACATCGGTTCCAAGTCGGACCCTCTGTGCGTCCTGTTAATGAGCACCTCCGATTCCCAGTGGTATGAGGTCAGTGTAAAGAACAGATCTGGAATCATTAATATCAGATATTGGAAACTGTGGTAAAGGTAGATCGAGGTGAACTGGTTTATCTTAGTGTCGAGCATTCTGTAATCAGTCTGTGTTCCATAATGACATTTATTAGGTGAGGGAGGTAAAAATAGATGCCTGAGTAACCTGCCCTGCACTGAAAAGTGGATTATGTGGGATGTATGAAGTCACACAGGTGTGGACGGTTATGTCATGGCTGCCTCTGCAAGACAGGGTGTCAGTGCAGAGTTAATCATTAACCCAATACTTGAAAGTTTCCATTTCCTTTTCCATCGCTTCATGTGCGTCACTACAAACTACCATTTCCACTGTTTACGGCACTATTATCTCTCAGACTTCTGATTCATTTTTTCCCAACAGCTGGAACGTTCAGAGAAAGTCCAGAATTGCCTTAACCCAAAGTTTGCCAAAAAGTTTGTGGTGGACTACTACTTTGAAATGGTGCAGAAGCTGAAGTTTGGGATTTATGACATCGACAACAAGACCGTCGACCTGAGTGATGACGACTTCCTGGGGGAACTGGAGTGCACCCTGGGCCAGGTAAGGTTGTCCTCTCTTCTCCTGAGGCCAGTTCTGCAAAGTAAACTTAACATAACCAGGATATCGGTTCACTGTCTCACTTCAGCTTAATGACCTCAGCCACACTAAGTAGTCATACAGAGCTGGTTGTTAGCCTAGTAAGTCAACACAGGCTTTATGAACCTCGCATTGGCATTGGGGGCTGCAAGGTGGGTCGGTGGTTAGCATCATTGCCTCGCAGCTAGAAGGACGCTGGTTCGCGTCCCGGTGAGGACACCTGGGTGGAGTCTCCATGTTCTCCCCGTGCAGTGTGGGTTCTCTGGCTTCTTCCCACACAGTCCAAAAACACGTTGAGATCAATTGGTGATTCTAAATTGTCTGTAGGTGTGAATGTGAGTGTGCTTGGTTGTCTGTCTCTAAGTGTAGCCCTGTGATAGACTGGTGACCTGTCCAGGTGAACCTGCCTTCACCCTGAGTCAGCTGGGATAGACTCCAGCCCCCCACGGCCCTAGTGAGGCGGTGTATAGATAATGGATGGATGGATAGACGGGATGGCATTGGCATCAGATCATCAATCACATACACAAATAGTCTACACCTGTAATATTCTTACAAGCAGAACAAAAGATCAAACTGTTATCCTGAACAGTTTTCAGAAGTTTAAAGACTTAGACTGACTTTATTAATCCCAGAGGGAAATTCAGGTGTTACAGCAGCATGAATATTCAACAAAGGGGGTAAACAAAGCAAAAAGAAAACACAGAAGGTATAAAGGTATGGAACACAGGAAGTCAGGAGGAAGAAAAATACTAACTGTGTGAACCTACAGGTGAATTGGCCTTTTATGATCGCTGCCCCTTCATGAAGTGACAAGTAGATCTGACTGTAATCACAGTTGTGTATTGCATTAAATGTGCTTCATAGCTGTAGCCTGTTCTTATGATGTGTAAGATATTCTTTTAGCTGCAGTGTGTTAATATTCAAACCTGCAAACCTTATAAGGTCAAGAAGGTTTCAGTGCTTTAATCAGTCTGTTAAGGGTTATATTGTCATCCAAAGGCCTGTAAAAAAAAAAAAGAATTTGCTTTGACGATTATGTAATTAATAGTGGGAAAGGTTTTGTTTCCTCGCTTTTATAATCAGCTGAGTACAGTTTTGCAGATACAACAGTGATGGGGCGCATCCTGTGCTGTAATGAGACACCTCTGTTTACCATGTGGCAGATGAAGCATTATGTTTTCTGATAAACATTTCCAGGTTGGACGCTGCCAGTGTAATTTGACCGCAGATGTAAATTTTGTTAAGGATGCCATTTGCCTTGTTGTCTAGGGGCTGCTGTGTTGCTTTCATCTTCTGTTCTGCTGGCTGAGCTTTTTCACTCCGCTGCTTTTTGCTGCAGCTGCTTTTCTCTGTGAGTGCTGACGTTTGTATTTACTTTAGGTTGTATCCAGTAAGAAACTGACCAGGCCGCTTGTCTTGAAGAACAAGTCTCCAGCAGGAAAAGGCACCATCACAGTGAGTGGCGGAGAAAAGTTGTTGTTTGGTGTTTATATCCTGTTTATTTTTTTGTTTTGTTATCGGTGTTATTTGTTTATCTTTTATTGGGTTGCAGATCAGTGCAGAGGAAATAAAAGACAACAGGGTGGCAAATTTTGAGATGGAAGCTCGGAAGCTGGATAACAAGGTACGAGTGATTCTGCTGAAGATTTTACATGCTTTCTTAAGTTTTTATTTATTCGGATTCATTGTACCTGATTACTTAATAACAATAATGTATTTATTTTCACGCAGGATTTCTTTGGGAAGTCCGACCCCTACCTGGAGTTCTACAAGCAGACCGCAACTGGATGGCAGCTGGCTCACAGGACAGAGGTACACACACTTTTATAAATGACAGTGCTGCTACTGGTTGTGTAACAGCTGTGGAACAGCATGGCTAAATATTACAGCTCTGCAGGAGAGGTGGATAAAATCAGAATCAAATTAAGTTTATTGTCATTTTGCTGTACATACAACAGTCGTACAAACAAGATGAGAGAGCGTTTCTTCAGGATCCAGAAACTAAAAGCAATTAAATAAAGAAGTGTTTGCATATCTGGATCAGCAGTTCAGCATTCTGACAGCTTGTGGCATGAAGCTGTTGATCATTCTGGCAGTTCATTCCTTTAATGGTCCAGAAACGCTTTCCTGATGGCAGCAGTTCAAACAGTTCATGGAGAGGCTGTGAGGAGTCCCTGACAATGTTCAGTGTTCTGCTTCTGCAGAGGCTCTGGAAAAGTTCAGAGCTGTCTGTCTGTCTGCATGCCCTCCAGCTGTATGTCCGTCTGGGATGCTGTCATGGAGCCATGTTTCTGTTAAAGCAGACACACAGCAGTCCCTCCACTCTCTGCGGGTTTCTCTCAGCAAACGTAGCTCGTCCAGCCTGTTGTGGAGGGAGCGGACATTGGAGAGCAGGAGGACGGTCCTGCTGGTCTGGAGGGGTTAGCCTTTAGCTTAGCATGGATCCCGGCTCTCTTCGTCCTCCTTTGTTTACGTTCGTACTGTTTGCGCTTCCTTCTCTCTTGGGTAACTGCCGGCGTAGTCTTCAATCGGACTCCGTGTTGGTGTAGTATGTCCACATCACAACTGATCGCCGCAATTTTTGCAACGTTCGTTGTCCTGATATTCAGCAAAGTCTCGCGGCTGTAAGTTTTGTGGAATGAACGTCTGGGATAGAAAAGACACTTTAACTCTCGCTGTCTCCTGAAGGAGCCGCTGTGTCCATGCATACCGCCAACTCTATGACAACAGTAACAGTGGATAAAAAAAATAAAAAAATTCTTCTATGTGTTTTTTCCCCAAACTGACCTGTGCTGAAGGAGGAACCACTGGTGGCCCAACTGTTTCACCACAGCCTTTACATAATACGGCATGTTGGGCCAAGCTCACATTTGTCTAATTAGGAAAGTTAGAATGTTTGAATGGGTGCCCTCTGCAACAGTAGATTCTGTAACTCCCTTCCTGTACTGTTACCAAACAGCTGCACCGACACACTCTCCAAAGGAAGCCAATTAGATTTTACGAGCACATGTTCAATCTGGTGTTGTTGTTGTTGTGAATGAGGAAGCAGAGGCATAGCATTTCCTGGTGTGAGTGAATTAGAGAAGTCTCTGGGTTGTTATAAATCTGATCACTCAGATTTGACAGGGAAGTTTATGACCTGTTTGTGGTTGTTTGCAGTGTATTTATATCACTGTATTGTCATTTACACATAGAGAGATTTCTTGTAGCTGCTGTAGTGATGTTTCAGCCCCTGAGCATCAAGAAAATACAGGTTGCAGCATATATTGCAGTTGGTCACAACACTGCAGTAATCTGTGTAGTGTGTTGTATTTCTCAGCTTCATACCGGTACGAGATGTAAGAATATAGAAGGAAACAGTTCAGCTAATCAGATCTACGCAGGGCGGTTTCTCATCAGCAAAACAACTGTGGTGACAGTAACTGAAAATAGCTTTTGTACAACAACCCCAACATTGCACCGCACATCTGATTTTAAACCAGGCATGTTGTTCAGCTCATTTAATGAATCGCAAACCTGTATGGGATGATAAACCTTCTTTATATACCTAATATTCTAAATGTGAAGTGAAGAAAGTAACATGCTGTGAGCTTCTGCACGTTGTTGTTGTGCTGCTGCTGATGGAATGTATTTCGGTATGCTGTTGGCGTGTAAACAGGTTTTTCAACTAGTTGCTATTAAAGTCGTAAACGTCAAGGGACGATGGAGACGTGGGTAGAACACATACCGTATGGGCGCATGGTCTTTGAGCAGCAGATTGTCAGAACATTAGCTGCATGTCGGTCCTCAGTCTCTCTCCTGCACGTCCACCCCGTCTCCCTGCTGTCCCTGACAAATTCATGACCAAAATGCCCCAAAATACATCACCGAATTCATTAAGTTGTACTCCGGTTAGTCCTCCTAGACGGCTTATGCTCTCATTTGGGACAAAGTAAGAACTCAACAGTGAGGAATTCATACTTTTTGTTTTCTTGATGATGCTCCCTAGTTTGGAATTATTTCTCTGGAATACGGTTTGTCAGCAATCACACTGCAGGAGTTTGTGGTCGATTTACGCCAGTTTAGCTCCTCTAACGTTGTCCCAGCCATCAGCAGCCACGGGTTCTTCTGAGCAGTTGCCTAGAACTCTGAAACTTACATCGACTGTAACATCGACAAAGCGGGAGAAGGCTACAAAAAGATAGCACAGCGTTTTCAAGTACTGATTTCCTCAGTTCGTGATGTAAACAGGAAATGGCCGTTAGCAGGAACAGTGGAGGTCAAGACAATGTGTGGAAGACCGAGAAAAATATGAGAGAGAACTGCTCGTAGGATCGCTAGAAAAGCAGAACCCCTGTTTGACTGCAAGAGACCTCCAGGAAGCTTTGGCAGACACTGGAGTTGTGGTACACTGTTCAACCGTTCAGCCACACCTTCATGAAGGAGTCATCAGAAGAAAACCTCTCCTGCGTCCTCACCACAAAATTCATTGTCTGAATTTTGCAAAAGAACATTTAGACAAGCCTGATGCATTTTGGAAGTTCTGTGGACTGGTGAGGTTAAAATAGAACTCTTTGGCTGGCATGGGGGTGGATTGGTTATGCTTTGGGGTTGTATTGCAGCCAGTGGCACAGGGAACATGTCATGGGTAGAGGGAAGAACGGATTCAATTAAATTCCAACAAATTCTGGAAGCAAGCATAACACTATCTGTAAATATGCTGAAGTTAAAAAGAGGATGGCTTCTGCAAATGCATAATGATCCTGAACACAGCTCAACATCCACAATGGACGAGCTCAAGAGGCGCAGGCTGAAGGTTTTGCCACGGCCCTCACAGTCTCCTGCCCTAAACATCATCGAAAATCTGTGGATAGACCTTAAAAGAGCAGTGTGTGCATGACGGCCCAGGAATGTCACAGAACTGGATGAAGGAAGAATGGGCGAAAATCCCTCTAACAAGAACTGGAAGACTCTTGGCTGGCTACAATAAGTGTTTACAAGCTGTGATACTTGCCACAGGGGGTGCTGCTAGGTATTAACTATGCAGGGTGGCCAAACTTTTCCTTTTCTGTTATTTTTAAAAGTGTGAAAGATGAAAATACAAAATGATTTTGTTTCAAATCTAAAGGGAATGTGTCGCCTGTAGCTTCGTGCCTTTTGGAGATCATTTCATCTTTTGCTTGCTCAGTTGTTCACATTGACAGGAATTTTGACTTATTTTGTTTTCTCTCACTGCAAAGTATTATCGGCAGTTTCTCACACCACAGTCTCCAGTTTGTTTCCATTTGCTTCCACATGAGATTGCATGAGGTGGTGCACTGCTCCCTGCCTGCCTCCTCTGGCCCAGTATTCCTCATAATAATCTGTGATGCATCATTATTTTCAAATGTGTGTGAATGTGAGATTAGAGAGAACAATATCTGTTGAGTTTGTCATGCAACCCGATTCCAAAATCAGTTTTTGATGCTCCTGTAATGTGAACCGAGCCTTAGTTAGTTCTGTGTCAACATAGACGAAGAACTAGTTTCCATACATCCAATCAGATTGCCTAATTTTAAACCACATCTGCAAAGTGGCAGCGTCACTGTTCCGTCCGTGAAGACAGTCAAACCACTAACAAGAACTTAACAACAACCCACGTTAGCTCACTCACCGAACTATTTTGTTAGCCACAAACCTCCAGCTTTGACTGAGCCACAAGACAAACATTCTTCTGGGAAAGGTTTCACCACTCATGCCACTTTGCAGGCTCAGTAGTGATTGGTGCTCACCTGCAGCGTGTAAACGTACCTGCAGACATCACTTGGGTCTGATTGGACTCTGAGATGGTCTTCAGTAGAGCACGCTGTCTGCTCATGCTTTGTGCAAGCGTGTTCACTTTATCTCTCCTCTGCCAGGCCTCAAAGTGCCACCGACATGAACCTCCAACCGCTTCAGCTAAAAAGGAGCATTTCTGGTATTTCCTCAGAGACACTTTGACCTTATTTTAAAATGCAAGAAGTGATGATTAAATGTGGTTTCAGTTAGATTTAATATATTTTGTTCTTGATGGAGAATTGTGCATTTGTCTAATTTTCTTTTATTTTTTTTTAACATTTTATTTTTATTGTTTCTTTTTTTAAGAACATGTAGCAAATATGAACAAAACAAAACAAAACAGAAAAAACCTCGAAAGAACAAGAACAGTGGATTGCCACGTCTCTACAATTTGCTCCCAAGTTGTCATCAGTTGTCCTTATGCTGTCGTTGTTTAACACGCCACTTCTCCCGTTTTTCTCGACATAGTTCTTCTTGAGTTCTTGTCTTATGGGTCAACAGTTCCCTTACATGTATCTCACTCACAGTGTTTTGCCAGTCCTGCTGTGTTGGCGGATCTGCTTTATACCATTTCCTTGCTGCTAAGATAATTTTCAGTAAATATCTGTCCTCTTTTATACAGCACTGCCTGACTTGTTTCCCAGATACAGTAGTACGCATGACTTGGGTTTATTATAGCCCAGAATTTGAATGATTATCTGATCAAGTGTGTGATTTTTAGACAAAACCAAAATACACGAGAGTGGATTACATTCATATTTCCACATTTTCTCCAGCATGGCCGTGGTACTGATGTGTGTTTATTTCTGATTCTGTGTGTGATGAAGAATCTAATCAAGTTCTTCCAACAAAATAATCTCCAAACCCAGTGATGATGTGGGTGTCTGCTGTGTTCGCCAAATATGCAGCCACTCATCTTGCATTTGTCTAATTTTCCTTCACTGTGTTCTCAGGTGGTGAAGAACAACTTGAATCCAACATGGAGGCCATTCCGAATCCCCCTGCAGTCCCTGTGTGGAGGAGACATGGACAAACCGATAAAAGTAAACGTCAACCACTCACAAATGTACAACGTGTTCAAACTGAGACTCACACCTGCAGCCACATTGGTTTAATCCAAACAGCGCTGCGTGTTTTGATGACACAAGACAAACTTTAAACCAGAAAAAAAAAATTGGTTTTCATTCAGACATCTCCAAATGTATGAACTGATCATAGTGTATTTAGTACGAGCTTGACGATATATATATTTTTTTTAACTTCTGAAGTGAGCATGTCAGGAAGGAAGCAGTTTCCCACCATACAGGACAAGTGAGTTACCCAGTGCGTCGGTGTTTGTCTTTTTCATCGTACCATCACTTTACTGGGTGGAGTGCGTGTGAATGTCTCAGCGGGGCCCTCGGCTGCCCAGGTTTTCTTCATCCAACCTTAGCATAGAAACATTTGTCTGGATCTACACATACTCATTTTGTTTCCAGCTTCTGTCTTGTGCACAAGTATTACAAAGACTTGTGTTTCAGATCTCACTTTTGCACGTTGTCTGTTTTTTCTTCTGTTTTCTGACAGTTCACTCTAATGGCAAACACCTTCTCTCATTTGCCTCTAATGGTGTCTAACAGTGCAGATGGTTTTGGTTTTATCTGCCTGGATTTTTGTAATTTGCCTCCAATTCCAAAAAAAAGGAAGTTTATGGAATTTTGAGGTGACAGTTTTCATTGAGACTATTCCTTTAAAAACTGTTCCTAGCAAAGTTCATGAATTTTTTATTTTTTTTTGTAGTTTGGGTGAACTGACACTTGAAGTAGATTTATTATTCGCCTGCAGTGTGAATAAACTATTTCTGTGTTTTCTCTGCTCAGCTACAAATGTTTTTTTACCTGTGTCTAGGTTGAGTGCTACGACTATGACAGCGATGGCTCACATGATCTTATTGGAATCTTTGAGACCACAATGACGCGCCTCCAAGAAGCATCGCGGTCTTCTCCGGTACGAGTATGTGTGTGTGCATTGTTTGAACAACCAACAATATTGTAAACATTAAGCGAGATGCTGCTTATTTATGCTCTACTTTATTTTGTATTGTTGACATGCCGTTTAACTAGTCATTGTAAATTAGTCTGGCTAAGAGCAGCGACTAAGTTGAAGCAAAATTTGCAACACAGCTTTTGTTTTCATGGTATTTTGGCTTTGACGAAGAGCTTCTGGCTTTGCTGTTTTTTTGCAGGCAGAGTTTGAATGCATCAACAGTAAAAAGAAACAGAAGAAGAAGGGCTACAAGAACTCTGGTATTGTGAGTGTAAAGCATTGCCAGGTGTGTACGTTTTTATTTTTTGCAAAATATGTCACTTGAGAAGCAGCAGTATGGATTTGATTTACACATGTTGCCAGTTCTCTGCTATAAGACAGGTGGCTTATCTTTTAGGTGGTGAAGGAGTACACCTTCCTGGATTATATTATGGGAGGATGTCAGCTCAACTTCACGGTGAGTTTAATGCCCATTTTTATTTGTTTGCATTCTTTGTCATCTATAAACCTGACAATATCTGTTATTTCCACACATTAGGTGGCTATCGACTTCACAGGCTCCAACGGGGATCCCAAGTCTCCCCAGTCTCTGCACTACATCAGTCCTCAGGGTGTTAACGAGTACCTCTCCGCTATCTGGTCTGTGGGCAACGTCATCCAGGACTACGACAGGTTAAGTTTCCCATATACAGAGTTAACGTGTAAACAAGTTCCACGTTCTTGACCAATTCTTTTTGAGATGTCTTCATGACACATGATCGATTCCACAAGACATAACTCCCATCTAACTTCATTGCTGACTGTATGAACCTTCTGGCAGCCACAGCTGACACGTCTTTGTGTACACTGTGGCTGGAGTTTGAATGACTAAATATGATGTCAGTCATCTAATCGTATCATTTACCTTTTGTGTGTAGTGACAAGATGTTTCCCGCCTTTGGCTTCGGGGCCCAGATTCCGCCCTCGTGGCAGGTAAAGCTTGCATTTTAATATGAGACGACAAACACCTTTGAAAGATAAGCTTTGTTGTTTCGTTCGTTATCTGGTTACAAGGTCATTTAGTGGTTTGGCACAGGAAATGATATCTGATGGCAATGTGTTACAGGTTTCCCACGAATTTCCTCTGAATTTCAACCCGTCGAACCCGTTCTGTGCAGGTTTGTTGATGGATCACTGGTTAATTTAAACCTTCAGACAGATTTAAACTGCTGATGTTATCTACAGTACACTTGTGGGTTAATGTTAGAGGTCGACTGGTTTTCCAGGCCTGAAAGAGTTGCTGATTATTGGTGATCAACACCGGCTGATAACCTAAAATATTTGGACCCAGTATCCATTAGATGTCATTCATAACTAGGGTGACTATAAGTAAATATGTAAAATAGAATTAGAAGTGATTTAAATTCTCTCCTCTGTTTATGGGGGATCGGTTGAGATTGATTAGTTTGTCTCCAGCTTATCCTCTCTGTTTTCTTACTCTTTCTCTGTTCTATCACTTTTATTGTCCATCTCTTAAAGCATTACAAATTATTGTTTTTCTAAACTCTGTTTCAGGGTAATTTGTCGCTGCCTTCTAATTTAGCCTCAGCCACTGTGAGCTTAGCTGATTCCATGTTTATGGCAACGGCTTGTGCTTTTTGTTCAGTTTTCGTAGTCTGTGCTTAAGAGATTTAGAGATTTCTAAGATCACAGAGTCCTGAGACCTTTAATTTATCAATAATCGCTCAATAAAAATACAGACGATCTGAAAAATGCAAACACTAATCCACAATAATCGGCCAGTCTAATCATCGGTCTGTCCCTGTTTAATATGTTGTAGTGCTCATGTTCCAGTGTGTGAGTTTAATCTTTACTACGTTGATTGTGTGTGCAGGCGTTGAAGGCGTGGTGGACGCCTACAGGGTTTGTCTGCCTCAGGTCAAACTCTATGGTCCCACCAACTTCTCTCCTATCATCAACCATGTGGCCTGCTTCGCCAAACAAGCCCTCCAGCAGACCACTGCATCGGTGAGTACTTGTCTGTACAGTAATCATATCCTATATTTATCCCTGGAGCTAAAGACTAATGTAAAAAACAAAGGCAAATGCTATCCTATCAAATGATGGAAGATCTAAGTAGTCGGGACTGTTTGAAAAACAAAACAAGGTGCAGCACATGTAGCTAGCCCCTTTAATGATCAAGATAAGAGCTTAAAAGTAAAGGTCGTGAAACTACAATGAAAATATCCTTGGACTCAATTATGGAGACAAACAAAGATAAGGCTGTAAAAAGCAGCTCCACTTCTCTGCTACAACATCACATCTGAAGACTCTCCTTGTAGCTGCAAAGGCAACAAACAGAAAGGGGAGCAACACCACGGGAAATATAGAAACTGTGCCAATGAGAACAGACTCCCACAAAGGGATGTGTGACAAATAATCTGTGAACACGTTACCATGTATATCCAGGACTTGACTACAGGTCAGGTCAGGACATGGCAGCGCAGTCCCCAGTTTATCCAGTACTCATCGTTACTTCTGCACTGCGTATTGCACAAAGACTTTACTCACAGTAAACATTTTGTTTCGCCACATTAAACAGGGTGGGGTTAAAAGCCTTTCAGTGCCAATTTAATGTATAATCCTTACAGTGCAGCAAATAATTTGATAATAGCTTGATTCAGAGGAACCGGATTATTAGGATATGACCACAGTAATTAGTTTTCAAGCTATTTCCAGATGCCAGGTCCATAGTGATCAGAGTCGTATGCCTATGAGGGAGAATAACTTGAATCGTATGCTCAACAATTATTGGATTTATCTGAGATTTTGTGAACACCGGAGTGTAATTAACTTCTTAAATGTGATGAGCAGCATCAGGGCTGGATGAACTGATCTTTCAACAATACATTGGGATTTGATTGGTGATCTTTGGCCAGTATCCCTCAAGTACACATTGAGCATGCCAAAATGCACACTGTGATGTTTTGAAATGCTTCTAACATACAGCTCAGACAACTAATCTACTGCTGCTCTACAAATGTGTTGTCGCTGTCCTCCTGAAGCAATACTTTGTCCTTCTGATCATCACCGACGGAGTCATCACGGACATGGATGAGACACGCAACGCCATCGTCAACGCCTCTCGCCTGCCCATGTCTATCATCATAGTCGGGGTGGGAGGGGCGGACTTCAGCGCCATGGAGTTCCTGGACGGAGACGACGGCCGTCTGCGCTCTCTGAGTGGCGAGGCTGCCATGAGAGACATTGTCCAGTTTGTGCCATTCAGGCAGTTCAAAAACGTAAGTCACAGTGAAAACGCCGGACACCCTTCCATTACTCCTGCTTCATATGAGATTTGTTTTCTGTGATTTCTGCTGATTTTTCCTCAATACGCCAACCCATTGCTATAAAAAACTGCATGCATTCCAACCTCTTTCTGAGCATTTCACTGCGTCATCTTTGGGTTGGTTGACGTCAGGATTATGAACTAAACGTAGTAAAGCAGGTTCTCCTTATAATTCCACTACACCTGTCCAAGCTCTGGGATTCCCCCACCCTCAACTTAAATCTCACTTAGCTTATCTCTTTGCCTTGTTTATTTCTTTTCAGGCGCCCAGCCAGGCTCTTGCCCAAAGCGTTTTGGCCGAGTTACCTCAGCAAGTGGCGTCCTTCTTCAGTTTATTCAAACTGAAGCCTCCCCACGATCCCAATGCTTCTTAGGGTACCCCAGATATCATATTACATAAACCCCACCATCATCCTAGCATTCTGCTTCACCTATATGACTAACAGCTGCATGAACCACCACATGTAGTGATCTCTATCTTAATGTTAATGACTGTCCTCCTTCCTACTTTTCTAACTTTGTTTTGCTTAAGATTCTTCATCAGTGTCAAAGTGAGAGTGTCCTTTCAGACTGAGGACCTCTGGCACTGATGAACAATCAAAGAAAGGAAAACTCCTCTGTGTTCCTTAAATGCTGCTAAAGTGGCACAAAGATCAGCCACGACATCACAGCTACTGACCGGTGAAGTGATTAACATTGATGATGTTGTTAAAATGGCACCTGTCAAGGGGTGAACAGTCAGAACAAATGGGCCGCATAAGGATCTGAGGATTCATGGCCGAGGTTCAACATATTACGAGGAAAACTCGGCCCTTTATCCATGTGGGTGTTACTGTGACAAGTACCACCTACCTAAACAATGTGACACACTCCTTCATGGCAGCAGT